GTTCGGTCACTTCAAGTTCGGGTTATTTCGGGTTCGGGTCAATTCGGGTTCGGGTTGAGAACTGTATGTTCATGACCCAGTATCGTCGGGTTCGGGTCGACCCAACGGGTTATAACTTTGATTTTTAAAATTTTTAAATTCACATTACCACTTACATTTTCTATTAAATAAATTTAAAATATCAAAAAAAATGTATTAAATCTATAAAATTGATTTATTTTAAACTCTGAAGTAATTCTTTAGATATATAAATCAATATAAGGAATTTAAAAATGCTTAAGTTTTGGAAAAAAGTAAGATAATTATGTAATATCATTAAAATTTTCTCTGCAAATATAAATTTGTACACTAAAAACGAGTAGTAAAGTGTATGATTTTGAAAAATTCTTACTTTAGCGGGTCGGTCAGGTCGGGTTCGGGTTCGGTCGGGTTTGACCCATTTTTAGCGGGTCATTTCGGGTTCGGTCAACTTCGGGTTCGGTCATCAAAACCATTGTTCAAAACCCAGTGTTTTCAGGTCGGGTTTCGGGTCAAAAACAGGTCGGGTCATTTTTTGCCAGGTCTACTTCAAGGGAGAGGAAAACGTCAGCGTCGCCATACCGCCGCACAGATCAACGAAATGGAATCGTATGTACACCTTCTGATCCCAATTAATTTGCACTATTTAGAGTTAAAATTTAATTAATTTATTTCCTTTAATTTTCTTATTGTTTTGGTAAAATAAAATAGTATAATCATGTCTTATTTTGTTAATTTTTTATCTAGTTTTTAAAAATGTAAATTCCATTATTAAATTTTGCCTCAGTTTTTATATGAATGGAATTGAAATGAATAATGTCAATCACGGTAATATATACAAACGTCAGCAAATCCTTGGGGACGAAGGATGTTATTAGAAACATAAAAAAAATCTCGAAAAAGACTAAAGTAAGAGTAAAATATATAAAATAAATTAAATCAAAATATAATTTTTATGTTTTTATCTCCAAAATATGACCTATAATGTCATTATTCTCAACATATAATATCATTGTGGAATACCAATATACTCCCTCCTTCATAGAAAGAATGTCATAGTTACCTATTTCGGCCTCTCGATAACTTTTGTTTGTTACTCGTTTTGGTTGACCTTTTGATAAAATAAAATATTTTTGTTGCATCTTGTTTTGTACTCCCTCTGTCCCGGAAAACATGAGAGTTTTGGTTTTGGAGAGGGATTTAAGGGAAGTATATTTTGGTATTGAATTTCCAAAAATGTCCTTTGATGTGATGGGTAAAAGTATGATTTGATGGATAGATTATTAGTAAAAAGGTATGATGTGATAGGTAGGGTATGAAAAAGTAAGGGGTAAAAGTGACTTTTTAATAGAAATGAGAAGTGTTTTTTGGGACGGATGAAAAAAGAAAGGAGAAAGGTTTTCTGGGACGGAGGGAGTAGTATTTTTGATGTACTTTTAAATGGTGTGATTTTTACATTTTATTTCTCTACCAATTTGTAAATAAAATGATTTTAAAAGAAATGATATCTTGCACGTCATTTGAAATGTTGTAAACAGTTTGGAAGGGAGGGTGTATATGTCATATTATTACAATACAATAATCATATTTTGAGATTAAGGCCTTGTTCTTTTGATGAGTTGGAAAAATTAACTTTCAACTTCTACATGTTTTTTTCCAACTTCTTCTTGTTCATTCCAACTCTTTCTACTTTTTTCTAATAACGACATAAAAAGGTATTTATATATGACTAATATAAAATAACTTTATATATCCAAATTTATAACATATCAGCTCAACATGGACAATGATGAATTCAATTTTATCCAAAATTAAGGTTTTCTTACATACTTATTTGGATAATCATTTAATTGAGTGATTTTTTAAGACTTAAATTCTTCTAACATTTTCCAACTACATCCAGTTTTTTCCAACTCCTTCCATTTTCTTCCAACATCCAACTCTAAAATTCCAACCCAAAAAAAACAGGGCCTAAAATATGTCACTTTTATTTTCAAATTTTGGACAATTATTTCTTAAGAATTCTTTCACAACCACTAAGGGAGCTTCTCGGGGACTTGTGTTTTCAAGAGTTTGGATTTGAGTGAAAATTAGTTTTGAAGAACAAGACTAAGGTAGTGTTCGGTTCGTCTCATTTGATCTGATCTGATTTTTGTGAAGATATTGTCTGAGATGATTAGATGTGGTCTGATCTACTTAAATCTAATCTGATCTGATCCGATTATAATTATATTTAAGGCATGTTTTTCCACCTGATCTGAACGATTTTGATCTGGTTGGATTAAGTTCTAACCTGATCTGGTTTTGATCTGATCTGAATGTAATCATATTCAAAGTTGTTTTTGATCTAATCTAATTTGAATTTATTACAATAACAATAATTAATACGAAATAAGTTATAAGTAATGAGTTGAAGAGAAAAGGCTCTTAATACTAATTTTGATCTGATTTAAATTTAAAATTATTTATGATCTAATCTGATATGAGCTGATCTACAAACTTTAAATATATTGATTCTTATTTATTGAGTTTATTTGTTTTTAGGGTTTTTAAGGTGTGTCCGAACCCAGATGAAAGAGTAAGAAAGGAGTTGTGTAGGTCACTAGGGTTGGACGAAGCACAGATCAAGTTTTGGTTCCAAAACAAGCGCACCCATACCAAGGTACGGAGTATATAAATATGGTTTATACTCCCTCCGTCCGGAAATATTTTTCCCACTTTCTTTTTTGATCCGTCCGGAAATATTCTTCTCATTTCCTTTTTTAATATACTTTTTAAGGATAAATATCAATAATACCCTTCTATTTTATCACAAATTTACTTTTTTAGTACTTTTTTAATAATAAAAGGAGATTTAAAAGTTTATAGTATGTGCATTTTTGAAAATTTTGCATTTTTTTACCATTTCTTAGTAAGCGTGCCAAGTCAACACGGAAAGAATATTTCCGGACGGAGGAAGTACTTCGTTTTCTTCGGTATAACCCTACAATGACACATTCCACTTCATCATAAAAATGTCAAGTCAAACATAAAAAATAATTATTAAACAGAGGGAGTATTATATGATAATTAATAATGAGAGAGTACACAGTAAGTACTATGGCCAGTCTCTTTGAATGGTCATTGAGAACACTATCCCAATTAGAACACATGTAGTGCTTCGTTTGTGAAATTGATAGTTCGTAACCCCTAAATCTCCCGTAACCCATCCACTCAATCTCAACTCACCCCTATCCGCGTCAATTGTGGGGTTAAGTTGAGTTGACTTTGTGATTAAAGTTTTGATACTAAAGTCAACTCAACTTTCACCCCATAATTGATGTGGGTAGGGCTTGGGGTCGAGATTGAGTGGAGAGTTTATTGGATGGGCTAAGGTGGGTAGGAACAGTCATTCTTACAAATGAAACACTTTAGGTGTCTAGCATCCTCTGTGGCCACTCAAACATAGTGGCCATAAAATTGGAACCAGTTAATAATTAATAAAAATAAATATATTTGATTTTTAATTTATTGAATGGTGAAAAGTTTACTTGAGATGAATGGAAATTGAATGAAAACACGTTTTCTGGGATGAAAGAATGTTTAGAAAATTGAAGGATTGATACTCCGTATTTTATTACTAATCCCCAATTATTTGGAAGAAAAATGACACACTGAAATGTTCATAAACAAGTGATGCAGTGAAATGATCCCAAGGGATAATAAAAATGATCAAGGGCTCCTCTATTCCATAACAATGTTATTCAGGCCCCGTTTGGTGCACAGAATTCAAATTATGGAATTGGAATTGATTAATTCTAATATTTGGCAACACAAAAATTATGTGAATTTGGAATTAGTAGTGCAAAAAATGAATTGGAATTCATGGATTCAATTCTATGGAATTGATGGATTCAATTCAATGGAATTGAATCTCATGGAATTTCAATTCCAATTCCATCAATTCAATATACCAAACGGAGCCTCAGTTTTTTTTGTCAAAAAAACCTTCTTTTTACGGTTTTACTCTCGACACATAAACATGAAATTTTTTTGGGGTACATCAAAAGTGTACCTCAAGTTTATATTGTACACCACCAGCTCCCATTCCACACGCATTTAGTTTAACTAATTAGAAAAAGAAGAAAATAAATAAAAATGTGTGGTCACAAGATTAGTGGTGTAAAACATTTGGTGTACCCCTAGCATTTTCGAATGAACATTACCCACACAAACACACAAAACCACACACAAAGTGAAAACAAAGAATATTATTGTCCTTATATTTCTTTAATTTTCTTGTAAATTTCTCATAGGCCCAAAATGAGCGTCAAGATAACACAGAACTGCGCCTTGAAAACCAAAAGCTCAGGATTCAACTATTGAAGTACAAAAAGGCCTTTGCTAATGTGAATTGTCACCAATGTGGCTGCCGAGTCCCCAACCCATTGCCCTCCCAAGAAGACGATTGGCTCAACTCTCATAATAGTTATCATCTCCCCTCTCTTCTTGGGCACCATGAACTTCCACCAATAAGTATGTCAAACCAAGCCGAGCCACCGCCCCTAGCCAGGGAAACCGGGCGTGGGTTATTAACCGAGGTTCAGAAGAGACAACGCTTTGTGACAGAAATCGCAAGTTGTGCCATGGATGAACTACTTCACATGGCACAGCTAAATGAGCCGTTGTGGGTCCCCTCTGCCACAACGGACACGTTACATCTAGACAAAGATGCATATACGAGGTTTTTCTCTGGGGCGTCTTCTGCGGGGAACCCAGCGGGGCCTAAGGCCGTGGCTTCCCGTGAAAGCGCCACAGTGAAGATGGACATTCCCATGCTCGTACAAGCATTTATGAACGTGGTGATCAATTACTATATCAGCTATATTACATTTATCCAAAATTATTTTCATGCCATTTTACTTTTTTCATTCAAATAAATAAATTTTGATCATCGACTAAATTAATGTAGATGTTACATTTACAGAATAAATCATTATGAATAGTGATGACTAAACTGTAAAAGTTTTATTTATGAGGTGTAGGGCGATTGGGCAAACATGTTTTCTAGCATTGTCTCCAAGGCCATCAGCCACGAAATTCTGTCAATTGGAGTGGCGGGAACCTACAACGGAGCTTTACAAGTGGTACGTAATTTATTATTTCAGTAAATCCAAAATGTAATATTATATGGACTCGGTAAATATACTACACAAGTAAATAATGCTCCCTCCCTTATCAATGCAAATATTTTAGTGTTAATTATACAATATGGATATCAATTTAATTGTTGTAATTGCACACCACGTGCTCGACAAAATGCCTGTGAAGATTATTTTTATTTAGACCCTTTTCCACCACCGCTAGGCCGATGGACCTGCCACTCTACTTGTGCCCTCACTCGTCTTGGATCTTTGCTCTGCCACTGTAAGAACCATCAACTTTACCAATAGAGCAATGTAAGTTCCCGGGTCAATTTAAAGTCAAAATTATCAAGGTCGAAATATTCTTGCCCTATGGATATTGTGCAAGTATGGTGCAAGTATTGTGCACTACAAATATAAAATTAGAAAACAAATAATTTGTTAATAATTTATTTTCCCAAACTGTTCTCACTTTGACAAGTACCATATATAGATCAGAAGAAGCTAGGTATGTTGAATATCCATTATCTATCAGAAACAAAAAGTAGCCCTTTTACAAATAAATATGCACATAATTTGCATAATTTCCTTCCTCATTATATTATGATATGTTACTATAACAATGCCATTATTTGATGTGCAGATATATGCAGATTTCCATTTACCATCACCACAAGTTGTGCCTCAAAGTTATTACTTTTTGAGGTATTGCAAGAAGAACGCGGACGGAACATGGGCAATCGTTGATGCTTCTATAGATCATCGACATTTGCCTATGTCCCAAGTGGTGGGTAGAAACTGGAGGAGACCATCTGGGTGCCTCTTAGAAGAAGCTCCCAAAGGGTACACAAAGGTAATCAACAACACAAGAAACATGCTCTTTGTATATATAGTAACGAATTCCAATCATATACTCCCTCCGTTCTCAAAAACACTCCTCTTTCATTTTTTCCACTTCCAACAAAACACTTCCCCTTTCAATTAAAAAACTACTTTTACCCTCACTTTTTCATACCCTACCTATCACATCATACTTTTTCTCTAATAATCTATCCATCACATCTTACTTTTACCCATCACATCAGGGGCAAAATTGGAAATCAACTATAATTTAACACTTCCTTATTTTTGCCCCAAATCAAAATGAGAAGTTTTTTTGCAAACGGAGGGAGTAGTATTTTTCATTACTTTTAAGTATTTCCTTAGCTAGGTTAAGTACTTTAGTTTTAAAATTTGGTACATATTCTATTTTATGCATCTATAGGTGACATGGGTTGAACATGTGGAGGTAGTAGATGAGGGCATCCAACTTGTCAATATTTATAAACCTCTCCTATCTTCTGGCCTTGCATTTTCCGCAAAGCGTTGGATTGAGACGTTAAATAGACAATGCGAGCATTTTGCTTCCAAGATGTCCATAAGCCTCCCCGCCACCCCAAATGATAATCTTGGTTCGTAATATATAGATACATAATGCAACTTACGCACAGTCGATATCTTTCTTCTCGTTTTAACTTGACACGCTTTTTAATGCCTGCATGGAATGAATAATGACAGTGGTGATAACCCCAGAAGGAAAAAGGAACATATTTGTGCTTGCAGAGAGGATGGTAAAGAGCTATATGAATGGGGTGAGCGGGTCTACAATTCAGCCATGGAAAGTTATACAAGGAGGAGGAGTTGGGGTCAGTGATGTGAGAGTGATGGTGAGAAAATCCATAAGTGAAGCAGGGGTGCCTTGTGGCATTATTTTATGCGCATCGACATCTTTTTGGCTTCCCTCGGGACCGAACAAGGTATTCCATTTCCTACGCGACGAACGCAATCGATCTCAGGTACTCAAAAGTAGTTTTATTTTGGGTGGGACGGAGTTTGCACGTTTTTTTGTACTAAGAACATTTTCTTTCCTTTTTCTTTTTTATATGGTTGCAGTGGGATATTCTTTCCAACTCAGGTTGTGTGAAAGAATTAACACGCATTACATATGGAAGAGATATTGACAATTGTGTCTCATTGCTAAGGGTATGACACATTACTGAAAACTAGAAGTGCATATATACTATATATCTTCATTTTTTATAAAGGATTTTTCTTTGGATTAAACAATATTTTTTTAAATAACATTATAGGGCGAGAATTACCCCCAAGGCAACGTGATGATATTACAAGAAAGTTTCACGGGTTCGACGGGTTCCTTTGTCGTATATTCTTCGATCGATATGTCAAGAATGATTGTCGTTTCCCGAGGGGGAGACCCGAAATTGGTGTCCATTCTTCCATCTGGATTTGCTATACTTCCAGATGGGGAAATGGGAAATAAATCTGGAACCCTTTTAACTGTTGGGTTTCAGATTCTAGTTGATCATGTTCCTACTGCAGAGCTTTCATCAGATTCAGTTCAGCTTATTAATAGGCTTATCACTAGGACGGTGGAGAAGATCAATTCATTGCTTTCATAAAATGTTATACCATTTCTTGCAGGTGTACATTTCATTACCATTTTAATGCAATCCTAATGTTTTTTTAAATATTCTACTCTCTCCGTTCACCAAAACACTGTCTCTTTCATTCTCTTCAATTCTACCAAAACACTTTCTATTTAAAAACACTTTTACCCCTATTTTTTCTTACCTTAACTATCACTTCATACTCTTTCTCTAATAATCTATCCATCACATCTTACTTTTATTCATCAAGGGAAAAAATTGAAAAGACAATTACAAATATACACTCTTTATTTTGAGTAAATTTCATAGAAAGTTCCCTGTTATAGGTCGTTTTACATATTTAGTCCCTACATATCAAATATTACTAATTTAGTCTGATCCCCAATTATTATATTCATTTCCACGAATGGTACTTTGTTAACATTTCCGTTAAGAACGTGGATAAAATTGTAAATTCACACTCCTTTCTCTCCTCAATTAAGCTTCCTCCCTCCCCTCACACTCATTTCCCAAACCCGTCGCTGAGTTTGAAGTTTTGAACCCAAAACCGGAATCATCACTCTTCTCTCAATTGTTTGTCTAATTGGTGGAACCCAAAATCGAAACCAGTAACCTTCATGGATGAGTTTTGGTATTTATTTTCTTTGCAATTTCTTGAGACTAACCGATTAAACTCATCCATAAAGCTTATTGTTTTTTATTTTAGGTTCCACCAGGAAGACTAATAATTAAGAGAGGAATGATCATTTCAGTTTTGGGTTTAGAGCTTCAAACTTAAAAAAAAAGTTTGGGAAAGAGTACGAGAGAATGGAGGAAGCTTAATTGAGGAGAGAGAGAAATATGAATATACAATTTTATTCATGTTCCTAACAAAAACGTTAACAAAAGACCATTCGTGAAAAATGATATAATCAGTGGGAACTAAATTAGTAATACTCCGTATTTGATATGTAGGGACTACATATGTAAAATGACCTATAACTGTGGACCTTTTATGTAATTTACTCCTTTATTTCTCCCATTAGTCAAAATAAGATCGAAACTATTTGAATATCCCATCTATCTCGCAATTAATGCTCTTTGCCCACAATTTAAAAATATCATCAAAAATTAAAAGAATGTTGCCTTCGATCTAACAAAATACTACGGAGTACAATTTTAGTGTTGCATTTGCTTTTGGGTGGTGATAGCCACACCCCACCAAAATAATAAATTCACGCTACATATTAATTTCACGCCGCTACTTTCTAAACTCTTTTTAATCTTGTGCCTCACACGGATTGTTATATATTTGAAATTTTTTTCTCTATAGCATATTGATAAAATTATATTCTAAATTAAAATATATAGTTGTTTTTTTAATTTTCTAATAAATGTTAGTATGTATTATCTAAATATTTTTAATAATAAGATGTGATATTTTTTAAATAACAATTGTAGTGTTAATACTGGTGCACATTTATTAAATTTTAATTAAAAATTTGTTTTTAAAAGCAATAAAAATAAAAATGGTGTGTAGGTTTAAATTTTATATAAAGCTTTATATAATTTTTTAAAAAAACATAAAACTTACATAATATTCCTTTTAAAATAATAATGTACATTAAAACATTAGAATAGGGAAATACATATTGGTATAATACTTAGGAATGGAAATTTTATATAAAATTATTGGTCATCAAATTTAAGAACAATGAAAGTTATTTTATTTGTAATTAATTAATAATTAAAAATATAACAACTTCAAAATATTTCAAAGTTAATTTAAAAACTCAAAAATGTTTTTTGAAAAGTTACAAAATAAAATAAATGATTGATAGTTCTATAAATATTTATTTATAATGTTTGTTTTAATTTTAAAAAGTCTATATAATTTTTTAAATAATAACAAAACTATACATATATTATGGAGTGCATTTAGTTGACGTGGTGTATTTAGTGTTTTATCGGATGTGGCTATCACTACCCTTTTCTTCTAGCATTGTGTTATCATGGTCCTAAGGTCCATATATACTGAGGGCATTTTTTCCATTCACGCTACTCGTCCAACTATTACAATAATATGTTTCATAAATATATAGTAATACTAAGTACATATACATATATGTGTGTGTGTGTGTTTGTTTGTACACACACACACACACACACACACACATATGCAAAATGGATGGAGATGTGTGTGGCAGTGTTCGATGACTTCGAATTATTATTTATCATTTGAATAACTTTTTGAATAACTTATTACTATTTTGGGCATGATTCCCAAGCTGTGTTCCAAATTATGAATTAAGCTTCCACAACTGTTTTGAATATTACTCCAATTAACCCGCTTCGCTGATCCGAGTAATCAGGTTATGCGGGTTGGGGGTGTTACAAGTTTGCAACTACGCTAGTATATACGCCTTCAGATCCTATTGAAGAGGTTCCCAAGAGGTTGCATCCTAACATTTGACCATATGTATCTATTCTGCTCGCGACGGATTTTTCTAAAGCTTACAATATTTTGGCCAAAGCTGAGAAGGATGTTGATGATTACAAAGCTAGTCTTAAGACACAAGAAGTTTGGTCAAGTGTGCATCCAACTGCGAGTGTCAAGCCGAATACGAAAAGACTGATAGGTGAATCAAGTGACGCATTTCTTGCGACGAAAGGCAAATTGGTGCATACTCAACCAGTGTCGACTCATTCTGTGGCCTCAAGTAGCAAACTAGACTTACGAAGATTTCTTTGTGCCCTTCGTGTGGGAGATCACATCAAGGTGAGTGTTGGCTAACCCAAGGGCTATGCTTAGGTTGTAGAGAGTCGGGACACTTTCGCAAATACTGTCCTACGAATCTAGGAAAACCATTTCCACTAGCGCACTAGCGCTAGTGTGTAGTCAAACAACCACGCCACAACCGACACAAAGTCAGCATACACCTAGGTAACCGAAATGGCGGATAAGAAAACAATCCTGGAGGGCAGCAAGGATGACGAGATGGATGAATGCTGGCTGAAGGAGTTATTCAATTTAATATCTAAGTTTGAACTAATTATGTTTTTGGGCAAAGAATCAAAAGTTGTGTTTGAATTAAGTAGTTTAAAGCTTCCGCATCATTTATTAACTCTGATGGATTTATAAATATTATTTATTTTGAAATTGTTTTGAAAATTATTGTGTTTGGATGCCAATTTGGTGACACTCCGATCTACCGCTCCTTGTATTCGGGTCGCTGAGGTCGGGTGTTACAGCATTGTCATCACTCCCCCGAGCGCCGTCCCCATTATGGAGGACCTGGCCTTATTGCGTGTGGCCCAGCTAAAGGCCAGGATCAAAGCTTGGATCTTCCCGATTCTTTGCTCGACCGGAACCCAAAGTCTCTGCAAGAACCTGCCACCTCGAGCTGTCACCTCCTCATCACTCGGCTAGTTCGGGTTCCGAGTGAGAGGGACTCGAGACTTGCTCGCTATCGGTTCACCCACTTTTTCCTTGCCTTTGCCATTTTCCCTTGTCTGGCCTTTATTACACCCTCACCCCCTAGGACAGAGGTAGCAAGGCCACACTCACTAGGTCTCTATCCTTTGCCAAGCGCTTCAGATCCATCATGGCTCGCTCCATTCGAATCTACTTGTTATACTCCTTGACCTGGGTGTTTTGAAACGCAATCGCGTTACGCCTCTGGATATAAGCCAATCGCTCCTTCCGACCCTATCCTCATCTGGAGAGAGCGTCTGCCACAGGCTTGTTCACCCTTCGTTTCAAGTTTAACTTTTTATTTGCTTTTTCATGGAGAAAGATTTAAGAAAAAGTAAAATTGTTTGATTGTGATTGATACAGGTTGAGGAGAGAAAATTATTATGAACCTCTCATTTCATTGTCTAAAAGGAATGAGAACTTTATATATATGTGTGTGTGTGTGTGTGTGTGTGTATATATATATATATATATATATATATATATATATAGACACACACACACAAACATACACACACACACACACATATCCGTCCATAAATAAAGTTTACGTTGCGCGTTACGTTATTTGACTAAGGTTATTTTCAAATCATTTTATATGAAAAATGGTATGGAATTAAAAAAGAAAAATTATATATTTGAAAATTACTTGAAAAGATCTACAAAACTAGATGTGACATAACTATTTTATTTTATCAAATAAGAAATAAAAATATATAAACAAAATGAATAAAGTTTGACTGTATAAATAGTGAACGGGCTGGGATTCGTTTCCATTACGGCATGTGTATATCCGAAGCAAAGTAGAGATGATGAGAAAGACCTACAAACGCGAGAGATATATAGATAGATAGATGATCCAGTCTCAAAAGTCAAGTTTTCTCTCATCTTTGATATTCTTCCATTAAGTCCGCTGTTTATCTTCTCTTTAGTGGTACACCATAAAATATACTCCGTATTTAAATGTATACTAAAGTCTTTCCACACAATTCAAGTATTGATTAAAAAATTTAAAGAAAGGATGAAAAATATAGGGTGAGAATGGATGTACAAATGGATTACATCATTTGGTAATTGGTATACTCCTAGAATTACTCTCCAGCATAAGCTATTTTTTTATTCGGAAAAAAGTATTGAAACGGAAAAGTATGGTACATCGATTATCGAGCATGTGTTAATGAATAACTACTCCCTCCGTTTAAAAAAATCATTCTTATATTGACTTTGAACAAATATAAAGAAGCGTTACTTAGAATTGACTTTCCAATTTTGTCCTTGCGGTAATGGGTAAAAGTAAGAGGTGATATTTAGATTATTAGTGGACAAGTATAATGTAATAGGTAAGATATAAGTTAGTAAGGGTAAAAGTGATTTTCTAATAGAAAACTACACTGTTTTGGTGAAACAGAAAAAAATAAAAGAGAAAAGGTTTTTGTAAACGGGTGGAGAAATAAGAAATCACTAATAACAAAAGCAAAAATCAAACCTACATTCATTTTTAATCTTTCTATTTAATTATTCAGTCTCAAATACTTCCTCCGTTCCAAAAAGTTATTCTCGTTTTGATTTTTTAGAAAATTTAAGGAATGATTATTTTGTGTTGACTTTTTAAAAATATTCTTGATGTAATGTGTAAAAATAGGATATGATGCAAAGTTTATTAGTAAAAAAGGTATGATGTGATAAGTAAAATACTTCCTCTGTCCCTAAATGCTTACCACATTTCTAAAAATAAAAATCACCCTAAATAAGACTAAAACATAAAAAAAATATCAAAATAAGAGTTTCATATTTTTATCTCTGAAATATGACTTCGCACTGTTGTTGTAGTGTGGTATGTACATGTGCACATTGTTATACTTTTTGGTAATGTACATGACCATGTTTGGTTATGTAAATGCATTTTATCTCAAATTTCAGGAATAAAAACATAGAAGTACTTCTACTTTAATCTTTTTCCCTTCAAAAAACGAGGCAAAATATCAAATTTTTTCAATCCATTTTATTTAAATATTGGTATAGAAATAAAAAATAAAATTTACATATTTCAGAACTACATGAAAACTTCTTGGAAATAAGAAGTGTCAAGAATATTTGATTTTATCAAATAACCAATAAAAACGTACAAATAAACAAAAGTTTCTGTAACTGTTGAAAAAGCAAAGATGACAAACATTTTGGGACGAAGGAAGTAAGAGTTAGTGGGGATAAAAAAGTTTTTAAATATAAAAAAGAATGACTTTGTGGGACAAAATCATATAAAAATAAAGAAAAAGAAGGAACTTTTTCAGACAGAGGAATATAAGAACTTGACCATTAATATTGATTTTTATACATATACATAGATATATCTTAATAAAATCACCCAAAATAGAAGTAAAATGTGATGGTAAAAGTAAGATGTGATGAATCTATTATTAGTGAAAACGTATAGTGTGATAGGTAGGGTGAGAAAAAAGTATGGGCAAAAGTGATTTTCAATAGAAAATGAAAGTGTTTTGGTGAAAGAGAAAAAATGAAAGATGAAATATTTTGAGACGGTCAAAATAATATTACATTTTTGAAAAAATTACCCAAAATAGTCTCAACTTTACCCGGTCTTTCAAAAATAATCTCACCTTTCACTGTGATGCATAATAATCCAACTTTAATGAAATTTGCCAGTTTTGGGTCGCCGTTAAGTTTCTAACTGAGGGTTAACGGAAATGCCCGTTTTAGGCAACAAAATAAAAGTTGTGATTATTTTTGATGAATTTTTGTTTTTTAATTTTTTTTTGAAATTTTCATTTAAATTTTTTAAATTACTTTCTACCTCCATCATCATTTCTTTTTCCTTTTTTAAAGATTAGTCTTAGTTTAAAAAATAAAAACAATAGATATAAAAAATGAAAAAATGAGAAATGTAACTAAAATAATAAAATAAATAAGGTAATCAATGGAAACTCATTCGAAATTGGAAAAAGTAAAATAAAAATATACGGGTGGGTTTTAATATTTTAGGCATTATACAAAGTATTAACATATCACTTCTTATTTTTTAGAAAAAATTATCTACAATAATTCCAACTTTACCGGACACCTTGTTCTTTTAAAAAATAAGTAGTACATTAAGACTCCGTATAGTGTGTAAAATGTTAAACCCACGACTCCATATATATTTATTTTATTTCTTACCAGTTTCTGTTTAATTTCTATTGATTACATTATTTATTCGATTAATTTTGTATGGTTTTAATTATTTTTCTCATTTTCACTATTTTTTATATCTATTTTTTTTCTAAGGTAAGAATAATCTTTAAAAAAGAAAAAGAAATGGAGGTTGAAAGTAGTTCAAAAAATTTAAATAAAAATTTCAAAAAAAATTAAAAAACAAAAATTCATCAAAAATAATCCCAACTTTCATTTTGTTGCCTAAAACGAGCATTTCCGTTATCCCTCCGTTAGAAACTTAACGGCGATCCAAAACTTGCAAATTTCAGTAAAGTTAAGATTATTATGCATTACAGTGAAAGGTGGGATTATTTTTGAAAGATCGAGTAAAGTTGGGATTATTTTGGGTAATTTTTCCTACATTTTTTTATATTGAAACCCAATGTATTTCGCATATCAATGTCAAAACTTACACCCTTAGATCAAGAAAAGTCAAATAAAAAATTAAATCGAGGAGTAGTTGTTATTTCTAAAATACTCCATAGAAGTGAGGCGCTGAAAGCCATTCTATAGTACTCCCTCCGTTCTATAAAAGTATTTCTATTTTGACTTTGTGTGAAAATAAGGAAGTGTTAAATTGTAGTTGACTTTCAATTTTGCCCTTGATGTGATGGATTGAGTATTAGAGAAAAAGTATGATGTGATAGGTATGATATGAAAAAGTAAGGATAAAAGTGAGTTTTTAATAGAAAGTGGAAGTGTTTTGTTGAAAATAAAAAAATGAAAGAGGAAGAGTTTTTGAGAAGGGAGGGAGTATTTTTTATATTTATGTTGGCATTGTTGTTTTTATGAGTCTCATTATGGAATAAAAATATAGTTTAACACAGTCCTTTAGGATATAAACTATATTGATCACATCTTTCAAAAAATAAGTAACAGAGCTAATTAACCAAACGCCATACTCCGTATTATTTTGACTATTTAGAGTTCGTTTGGTGAAATTTGGAGGTATTATAATAAGATATGAACTCTGAAATTTGAAAGAAATGATGTATTTTGAAATCTAAAACAAAGTTGTTTGGAGAAATTTAAAATTATCATTTATATAGTGATAGGCGGAGTGACCGGCAACGGAGGTGGTTGGCGATAGCCAATGGTGATGAGGAATGGTCAATGATTGGGAGACATAGTAAACTCCCATATTGATATCTCCCAAATTTGGAAACTCTCGAAACCGTCTCCTTGGAGGATTTATGATATCTGAACACTTGAAATCAATACTCCGTATCTTTTTGTCCTAAAAAAAATCCAAATCTTTTTTACTTCGCCAAACACAAAAAAAGATTCTTATATCTCCTGATATCATAATTAATAAGACTTTATTATTATTAATCCTATTACTCCCTGTGTAATAGCTCATGTACAAAATACCAAGTAGAAGTTGTATGAAGTACCAGAGTAATATGAGTTGCACTTCTGTGGTCCTACCAAGTAGAAAGTTGTACGAAGTACCAGAGTAATATAAGTTGTACTTCCGTGGTCCTAAGGCCCAGATATAAAATATGGATCTTCTCACACACTTCATGAGCTTATAAGTTGGTCTTTTTTGTTTTGCAAAAAGCTCAACTCTTTCATGCATGTTAATTATGTACGAATTAAGGACCGTAAAATGAGTGTGAACTTTAAGACCAAATAGGAATTTGCCGAGTAAATATATATTTGAAAAAGACTAAAATAACTGTAAAATATAGAGAAAAAACAAAAAATAGAATCTTTATATACTCCTTATGTTTTTATTCCAAAATTAAAAAATAATGCCAATATATAACATCCTAAATTAGTACGGAATGACAATATAGAGTGTAACATTATTACAGCACTATAGTTTTATTTTAAAATAAAAACATGTCATTTTTATTTTAGAAAAAGAGTTATGTTTTGTTCACATTTTAGTTAATTATACTTCTTTATATATTTTGTCAATTGGAGCTAGTACTTTTTTGGGATTGAACAAGTCAACATAATTTTTTTAAGATTGATGTTCAAGTCAAGAGAAAAAATTAATAAGATAGGGAGAAGTCAAAAAGGTTAGAATCTAAAGCTTGTTTTTTTCATTTAGAAAATTAGACCTTGATGAATAGAGATGAATAGACTTCATTAAAAGAGAAAATGACTTAAAAGTAAAATATAGAGAAAAAATAAAAATAAGTCTCATGTTTTTTATCTCTAAAATAGGAGTACAATATCAATAATGTCAATATACATGCAATACCAAAAGATACAGTGGGGTGCCATTATTCAGTACCATAAAGTCACAGTACAAACTATTATTTTGAAGATAAAAACATATAAATATTATTTTGAGGATAAATATTATGTTTACTTCATTCTATTTGGATTAATTTCTTTCATTAAAATTTCTCTTACTCACTAAGCTACTTGAACGACATGCAAAATATTGTGATTTTATAATAAAAAATTTTACAAATTGTTATAAAAAATAAACAGGTACATTTGAAAACTACATGTATCAAAAGTTCTACAAAACAAAATTGATAAAAATATTTTATTTTACAAAATTATTAATGAATATATGGAAACAAACAAAATTTATGAAGAAACTAAAATAATGACTCATTTTGGTAGGGAGAAATAAAGAATGTTGTAAAATACATGGGGTACCAAAACTTTAATAGACCCCGCCCGGAGAAGTATATGTATATATAATATATATTTAATTGCGGCATCATTTGCGTACAAAGATTTGAGAAGCAAATAAATCCCAAACTTCAATAATATAACTTCACATAACATTATATATATTCTTCTATAGTTCTTCTATGTCTTCTATCCATTAAATCCGAGCTTGCATGAAATGGCTTATCATCATCATCACACACTCAACAGAGTGCCCATCTTATTTACCTTACTGATTGTATTGGGCTGCAGTTCCCAAGTCTCCCGAGGGAGATTTGTGGTCGAGACGAACAGCATAACTGTGATTAATCCCTACGACATGCACGCGAAGCGCAACGCTTCAATATCGGACTTTGGGGTCCCAAAGTACGGCGGGTCTCTGGTTGGCAGCGTCGTGTACCCTGATAAGGGCGGCGACGCTGCCCTTGGCTGCTCCCCCTTTCAGGGCTATCAGCCCTTCAAGTCCAAAACCGCTCGCCCTAGTATTCTCCTTCTTGATCGCGGAGGTATTGCACATATTCTTTTCATTCACTATTTGCTTATTTTCACTAGCTAGTCATGTTAAAATAAAATATAATCGCGTCATCTCTTATGGTTTTATAGAATTTTTTATTTAATTTTCAAATATATAAATTTGAATTTAAACCTTACAATTAAATAAATTGAATTGAAAAACACCCTTCAAAACTCGCTGGTCGTAGGGTAAAGAATAATCTTACACGAAAGAAGTATTTAAATAATTAAACACCAAATATTTAATAATTTGTCTCTCCATTATAATTGTGCTCCAAGCTAAGGCATATTAAAACGTAACGGTAGTCTTCAAGAGTTGATTAAGTCTTAAGTCTCAACTAACCCTTGTTTATAGTATTATAGTCACTCAAAGTCATGATAGTGGCCATTAGCTACAAATTAAAAGAAAAACAAGATTCTATTCACTTGTTGGTTATATGACTACCTTCAACCTGCTGATATAGGCAATTTACCGTAATTCCTTTTTTTTAATGGAAAATGAATTATTCGCGCCGTTGCAAAAAACTTTTCCTATTTAAAGAAAACGCGTCTTAAAAATATGTAACTTTGGTGTTATTTTTTAATTATGATTCGTCTATATATCCTACCATATTTCTAAAGGATAAAATTAGAAAATAACATTTAAATTATACGAAGTACTTGTTTAAGGTGCGTCTGTTTTCAAAACAGGAAAGATTTTAAGGGTCAGGCAGGAACATTATTTAGAGACAAAGGAAAACAAAATTTAAGAAATCAACCAAATGCATAAATTAAAATTTGTACATATTATAGCTCATTTTATGATTTTAATTAATGTAGATGTGATTAGCCAAAAGTAAATCTTATTGGCTCCGTCCCCAAAAGTATTCAATCCAATATAAAAATGTTTTTCTGCTACGAGTTAAGATATTTGATGGAAGTTGATTACAACTCAATTTATATAAAATTTGATGTAAACAAAAATTAAAATTTAGGGAGTAGTATATATTTCAAAATGGTATAAAAAAATTTATAAAACAACTAAACAAGAATGACAAAACTATTTTTTTTATCAAATGTGTACTAAAATAAGAAATGAAAGTGGTTACACTTAAACTCTATGAATTGTTAGAGTGCTTCTTTGGTGCACCTTGGGTGTATATCAATTTGAATATGTGGACTTTCTCACATAATTTTTTTTTATTTTAATTAAAAAAATAAATGCTTATTTAAACAGTAAAGAAATATTTATTTTGCTCATATATATGTAAGTCCATGATGACCTTAGGTCCACCATAGAATTTGCCAAATGGTTAAGAACTTTGTTTTTATGGAAGAAGTATTATTTGCATGGTTACATACACTTTAATATTTATGTATTTTTATTGATTATGTTTTAGAATGAAATAATGATCTCCATTTTAAAAAAATCACCCAGAACAGAACATAACTCTTATCTTTGAAATAAGAGTGATATATTTTTATATCCAAAATTAAAGTACCTCCTCCGTCCTTGAAAACTTTTATTCTTTGTTTTTTCATCTGTTCCAAAAAAAGTCATTTCTTCTAAAAAATTACTTTTGCCTCTACAAATTTTTAACCTACTTATCGCATCACATCTATTCACTATTAATCTCTCCATCAAATCTTACTTGTACACATCACATTCAAAGACATTTTTGAAAATTCAACACCAAAATACACTCTCCTTAAAATCTTTTAAAAATCATAATCTCCAATGTTTTCAAGAACGGAGGGAGTATTACGTAGTGATAATATTGCACTGTATATATTGACATTATACAATATATTTTGATATTATACATTGATAATTTATGCATTTTTTCATACTCCCTCTGTTCTTAAAAAACTACCACAATTTGACATTATACAATATATTTTGATGTTATATATTGATATTACTCCGTATGATTTAAGTCTTTCTAAAACTCGGATAGCTCTCGCTCTTTTCTTGGTTTTACTCCAACGGCATCCGAGTAATCAATCAATTACCCACGCACCACGCCAGTAATTAATTAATCTATCTAATTCACGTTAATATATATTTCTTTCCAAGACCGCCACTTTCTATGGTAGTTGACTCCCCATAATATCAGGCGTGTGTCATTAGCTAAACTATACCCAAATTATATCTCATGATTTATAGTTGGGTGTTTTTGTCAACATACTCTAATAATATTAATACTAATAATAGTTACAACAGCGAATATTTCCTCAAAAAAAATAATAATAAAGGGTGTGTTTGGTGAGCAAATAAGATACTCCTTCCGTTCTCAAAAACACTTCCTCTTTCATTTTTTCCACTTCCAACAAAACACTTCCTTTTCTATTAAAAAACTACTTTTACCCTTACTTTTTCATACCCTACCTATCACATCATACTTTTTCTCTAATAATCTATCCATCACATCTTACTTTTACTCATCACATCAGGAGCAAAATTGGAAATCAACTATAATTTAACACTTCCTTATTTTTGCCCCAAATCAAAATGGGAAGGGTTTTTCCAAACGGAGGGAGTATGAGTTTTGATCTCTCCAGACATCAAAATTCTTTTTAGATGTTTGGTAAAGTCAAAAAAGATATCGAATTCGGCATCTGCAGATATCATAAATCCTTCAAATAGAGGGTTTCGATATCTCACGAATTTGGGAGATATCAATATGGGGGTTTGATATCTCTCCCAACCAATGACCATTCTCCGTCACCGGCTACCATTGTCACCGCCAACCACCCCGTTGCCGGTTACCCCTGCTTATCACTAATTAAATCATAATTTCAAATCTCTCCAAAGAAATTCATTTCAGATTTCAAAACTCATATCATTTCTTTTATATTTAATAACTCATATCTTATCATATCTCCAAACTCAACAAACGGGTCCTTAGTTTATCTTCCATATTTTAACATTTTTTCATGCCCTTGAGTATAAAGTAATACAAGGAATTATTATAAGTTGTGTGAACAAACAAACTTAATCATCAGAAGGCAGTAAGGATCAAACTCGTGACCTCAAGCTCATTAAGGCTTTGATATCATGTGAACAAACAAACTTAATCATCAAAAGCTCAAACAAACAAATCTTGCGTGTACCTGAAGAGGTGTGTTAGAAGATAAATAAAACCATTACGAGGCCTTCTGAGCTTGTGGTTAGGTTGGTTACTAAGTATGGTATCAAAATTTTGTTCCCGAGAGATCAAGAGTTCAAACGTCCCTCATACTAACATTAATTGAAAACATTATTCCCAAATAAGGCCTTCACATCTCCATATTAGCTCAATCTTGGCTAATGCTTGTAAATTTTAACTTTAAAAGTCAAAACAGGGATCTATTAGAATCTTATACCTCGGTTATTTTGACACCAAGGTGTAGTGTCATATTATGATGTGACGCTAATTTAATGGCCTGATAGTACATCGATTAATCCTAATGCTCTTTCTACCACCTAATCCTCGATCTCGGTAAAACCGACACCTTGGCCTAACTCTAATGCACTCGTGCCCGCCTGAATTGCACTCCTCAATTTTAGTGTTCTTTGTTGTCAAAAGATTTTCCACCAAAATTTTCATCGGGAGAAATATCTAATTAGAAACAAAACATGTTTAGTATACATACTAAAATAGAACTTCTAATGTTTTTATATCGAACAACGACTTATAATACAAAATAATATCAATATATAATGCTAAAGATACAGTGAAATGTCAACATAAATGTCAAATTGTCAAAATTGTGTCTTTCAACAATCCTATTTACTCCGTATGAGATTAAGATATAAGAGGCTGGTCTTGTTTTGGTAAAAACTTTATATTTTAACTTTATTTAGGTATATCTTTTCTTATCAATAATGAAGTGACATGAGAAAAATTCTCCCACTGCATGCATGCAGATTGTTATTTCTCCATGAAGGTATGGAATGGACAGCAAGCAGGTGCAGCAGCAGTGTTAGTGGCCGACACCTACAACGAGCCTCTCATAACAATGGTCTCCCCCGACGAGAGCTCCGACAAAGACGGATACATAGAGAAGATCGGCATCCCCTCAGCGTTGATCGAGAAGTCCTTCGGCGACACCTTAAAGGAAGCTCTGAGGAGAGGCAAGGACGAAGAAGTCGTAATCAAAATGGATTGGACCGAGTCGATGCCCCACCCGGACGAACGGGTGGAGTACGAGCTGTGGACGAACGGGAACGACGAGTGCGGGAAGAGCTGCGACGACCAGATGGACTTCATCAAGAACTTCAAAGGGCATGCTCAGATCCTTGAGAAAGGTGGGTTCACCATGTTCACACCTCACTATGTGACATGGTACTGTTTCACGCCTTTCAGTAAGAGCAGCCAGTGCAAGTCCCAGTGCATAAACCATGGCAGGTACTGTGCACCAGACCCAGACCAGGATTTCTCAAAAGGGTATGATGGGAAGGATGTGGTGCTTGAGAACTTGAGGCAGCTTTGTGTGCATAGGGTTGCTAATGGGAGTGGGAAGTCATGGGTTTGGTGGGATTATGTCACTGATTTTCACATTAGGTGTTCCATGAAGAACAAGCAATACACCAAGGAATGTGCCCAACAAGTATTAAAAGCTCTGAGTAAGTTATAATAGTACTTCTTTCGTCCCAAAATTAAACATACTTAAGCGTTCGACGTTTTTTTTACAATATCCAAGCCTCCAAGGAACGTATAAATTGGGTTTGATTTTTAATTTCCATCTTAGTTTTACTTAATCGTAGGGTAAGAATAGAATAATAATGAATACATATGATTTTATATGGAAAGCAGTAAAATGTTATGTTGGACAAGTTTAATGAAACTATTTTTTTTATCATCATTCAATGTATTTTTTAAATAAATAAATAATGGTCAAAGTTTGTAGATTGGACATTAATTACTATAGATACATGCTTGAATGCAATATTTTTGGTTCTTCGTTTATCAGACTTGCCAATTGGAAGGATAGAGAAATGCATGGGTGATCCTGAAGCTGATGCAGATAATGAGCTCCTCAAAGCTGAGCAAGCACTGCAGGTTCACTATTATTAATCCTTCATTAGCAACTAACCCTTTGTTTTTCTAAATCCTTGGTTAAACTTTGGTTAATGTTTTTAGTTGGTATAGCAATCCATTATTAAAATCAAAGTCACAGTTCGATTTTAACGATTTGTGATAGGATTTTGTACTTTTTAATGATGTTCAAAGTTCATAAATTTTAACACGAAAAGTGTTGTAACTTTGTATTAAGTTTCTTTTACCAAGGAAATATTTTATTTTATTTTCTTTTTTTCTACAGATGCATAAAAAGAGTTTTTCTTGTTTATGTTTTGTTTGGAACAGATTGGGCGAGGAAATCGTGGTGATGTTATTATGTTGCCTACCATGGTCATTAACGATGTCCAATATAGAGGTTTTTTCCTAAAACTTTTAATGTTACCTCTTTTTTTTTGTGAAGAGCTATACTATACATTCGGGTGTATCTTAAACATTTTACATTCAAGATATATCAGAGTGTAAAAGTGATTGAAAAAGTAGGGATGGTACATCAAATATAGGGGATGCCCTTTGGGGTGGGACAACCAAAAAGGTGATTTGTGTCTTTCGGCACGGGACAGAGGGAGTATATAAAAAACAGAAAACCTGAACTTTGAAATTTTGTGCTTCTAATAACAGGTAAACTTGAAAGGAGTGCTGTGTTGAAAGCCATTTGTGCAGGGTTCAAAGAAACAAGTGAACCAGCAATTTGTCTCAATGCAGGTTTGTTTTTTACTTCTATCTTTTGAATTAGTCTCTACATTGGTTGTTTCAATAATATTGGTTTAATTTATTATTATTATTATTATTATTATTATTATTATTAATGTTTTTTTGACAATTAGAGCTTGAGACAAATGAGTGCCTTGAAGGGAATGGTGGCTGCTGGCATGACCCAAAGTCCAACATAACAGCCTGCAAGGTACTTTAACATGGTTTTAACATGTGTTAAAACTAAAACATAGAGAACAAATACTATAAAGGCATTCTCTGTTTTGTCATTTAATTTCAATGTTAGACACTGCATTGAGAGTGTATTCAGTTTAGATGAGATTTTATTGTTGAGTCCAACTCTTGCATCGGCTTTGCAAGCTTATATTGTGGTTTTTATGATAGCTTCAGTACCCAACCCTTTGAGTTAACTTTTGGGATTGAATTAGGCCCAAATTTATTAGGAATATTTCACAAGTTACTTCTCAAACATATAATATTTAAAAAAAAATTGGATGATTAAATCTAGCCAAATTATGTGAGTGAGTTGGCTAATCATTTCCCATGATTAACAAACTTTTGTTGTTTATGAAGGACACATTTAGGGGAAGAGTGTGTGAGTGCCCTTCACTAAATGGTGTTAAGTTCAAAGGAGATGGATATAAGTCATGTGAAGGTACAATTTCTTGCGGAAAGTACCATTTGCAATTTTGCACCCCAATAAAAAAAATATCCCTCTTTACATGCTTATTTTTTTAATAATTAAATTTCCCATTTTTATTTCTCTCTATTCTCTTAAGGTGTTGGGCCTGGGAGGTGTGCCATTGACAACGGAGGCTGCTGGTCAGAGACTAGACATGGAACAACTTTTTCTGCTTGTCCAGTTCAGTGTTCTTTAATTTTTCATACTATAATCTCAGAGTATTTAATTGCTTCTTATGGTCAAAAATTCCAAAATTTGACCAATAGAAGCGAAATGAGAAGTTTATTTTGGTACTAAAAAACTATTATTTTTCATTCCGATTTTTAGTTATCTTAAACATTTGTTTGATGCAAAGCAGGAAGCTCTTGTTTCTGGCTGCAAATGTCCAAAGGGTTTTAAGGGGGATGGTCATAAATGTGAAGGTACTATAACTCTATTAAAAGCTCTTCAGAAATGGACATTTCTCATTTGTTCTATGCTTTATTGTTACAGATGTGAATGAATGCAAGGAGGGCACAGCCTGCAAATGTGATGGATGCAGTTGTAAAAACACTTGGGGTGGATATGACTGCAAATGCAAGGGGGATAAATTGTATATCGTTGAGCATGACACATGCATTGGTAAGATTACAATAATTATATTTAGATGTGTGTGTGTGTAGGCAATATTCAATAATACAAGTGCATATGATAATTAAGAGCATTAGGCCATTGGTTAGTGTGCTTTTATTAACAGTCATTGGTTGCTACATTTTTCTTGTGTTTTGTACAGAAAGACACTCCTCATCAAAAGCTGGGCAGTTGATTTCTTTGGTCATTGTGGCCGTTGCGCTTTGTGTTGGTCTTGTTGGGTACATATTTTACAAATACAGACTTCGGGTTCGTGCAAAGAATTTGATTTGACATTTTCTTCCCGCTTTTCTTTGGTTCAATTATCAAAAAAATAATCTTGAAATCAATTAAAACTCTAAATATGTTTTGTCTTTCCAGTCATACATGGACTCAGAGATTAAAGCTATAATGGCGCAGTATATGCCGCTTGACGACAACCATCACAATCGCGTCGTGCAACACGGAACGTATGAGCCTTCACAAGAAAGCATATCTGCTGCGTGAAGAAGGTTTATTGGTTACACTTATGGAGATGTATGTAATCTGCCCATTTTGATGGGTTTGGCCTTCCATAAATATGGATGCATCAGTGACACAGATAGGGAGACAGACCAAAAGCCTAAAATCTAGGAGGATGTTATGTTCTAATATGAGGGTGTTATGTTTTTATAGTCCTTACACTGATTTTTATTTTCCTATTCCATAGAGTTTTCATTGGATGAATAGAATTGAGGATAAACAAAATATAGGTATACAGAAGAACTGCATTTCTCATCTTAATTATTTTTGAGTTTTCGTCTCCAAATATATCCTACATTCCCTACAAAGATCTAAAATTCCTCGAACTGAGAATACATTGCGGTAAATTTGTTTAAGGTTCCTTAATTATCATGGTCGGTTTGGAAATCAGGAAAATGATTTCTAAAAAACAAATTATTTTTGCGGGTTTTGCTGAAAGCATGAAAATTGCCTATTCCTGTTTCTTATTTGGCTCATTACTGAAAAATGGAAATCTAGAAAATGAGTCCTGTAAATTCGGGGTGCATGAACCTGGGCATTCTTTGAGGCGTTTCGTCGAACAGTTTGGGGGCACACTTTACTAGTTTGAGCTGGGACCAAGCCAGCAGCTTTCGCAGCACCAGGAACCTCTAGGCTATATAAGAAGACACCTGCAATGCCATAAAATCATTAGGAGTTGAAGACATAAACCTGGGAACTCGTAGGGATGGTATAGGGACTACCAGGAGCTATAACCGAGCAACAACAAGCCCAAAAAGGAGATTCAAAGCCCACATATTGTTCTAGTTCATAGATGGGCAGTGCGCAGGTGCGATGTTCACGTCAAGAACCCAACAACTTGGAAATGGCGAGAAGAAGAAAGGTGAAGAAGAGAGCCGTAGCCGAGAAAATGAATGGATTTAAACCCGGACCAGCCATCCAAGAGGCCCTCTTTCTTTTCGAGTCAATCCAGTCCAATTTGGGGTTTTGGAGGGGGGAAATTATACCGTAAAGAGGCATGGTAGGGGTACTTCAAAATGGGTTATTCCATTTATACATTACTTAAATATAGATTTTTAATGTCTGTGTTTGTCTGTGTTTACCTGGTATATAAATAGGTATCCCATTTTGGTGTACCCTTAGGTTTATTCTACGGTATAACCTCCTGTACCAAAAATTATACTCAGCTGGGAATTAGATCGAAGGAAGGAGAAGTGCGTAGACAATGAGGGGTAGGCCGCCAAAGATTAGTTCGGTAGAAGAAGAAGAGCAAGTGTTCGGTTAAGGAGAGGCGCACCGACGACAAAGTGGAGACGCACTGTCAGCTGCCACTGTCCGGTTAAGGAGAGGCGCGCCGACGACAAAGTGGAGGCGCACTGTCAGCCGCAACTGTCCGACAAAGATTAGTCCGATCAAGGAAGAAGACTAGTCTGGTCGAGGAAGCTCCGTCCCCAAACCAGTACTCCGTCCTCTAGTTAATTGGATGAAAAACCCTAGCGTTGTTCTTGTCGGGTGGGTAGGAGAACAAAGAAAGGTCGCTGCAGGTATGAATTCTATTTTGCTTGAGAATAAACATTAAGTTATTTGAGAATGAGTACGAATTTGTTTCAGAATAAACACTACGTTATTCGTAAATAAATATTATAATTGTATTGAACAAATGTGTGAAAATGAACACTACATTATTTCAGAATAAGTACTACGTTACTTCAAAATAAACACTTATGTTTTGTGTGAGAGTGTATACTACTTTATTTCAAAATGAGTAATAACCTATTATACCATACTTCTGGTACAGCCGGCTATACTGAAAATTTGGTTCAGCTGGGAATTAGATTGTAGGAAGGAGAAGTCCGTCGACAACGAAGGGGAGACCGACAAAGATTAGTCAGATCGAAGAAGATGAGCCACTATCCGGAAAAAGAGAGACGCACCAACGATGAAGTGGAGGCGCGCTGTCAGCCGCCACTGTCCGGTGAAGATTAATCCATCGAGAAAGCTCCGCCACCGAACTAGGACTCTGTCTCGAGTCAAATGGATAAAAGCCCTAGTGATGCTCTTGTCAGGTGGGTAGGAGAGGAAAGAAAGGCCATGTGCTGGTATGAATTCTATTTTGCTTGAAAATAAACACTAAGTTATTTTAAAATGAGTACTACTTTGTTTTAGAATAAACACTACGTTATTCGTAAATGAATATTATAATTGTATTGAACAAATGCGTGAAAATGAAGTTTATATTACTTCAAAATGAGTACTACATTACTTCAAAATGAACACTTATGTTTTCTCCGAGAATAAGTACTACTTTACTTCAAAATGAGTAAAACCCGGCTATACCTTACTTCTGGTACAGCCAGCTGTACCATATACTTACCTGGAGACACAAATTATGCGGTATAACTGGTTGTACTAAAAATTCGGTTCAGCTTAGAATTAGATCGAAGGAAGAAGAAGTGTGCCGACGATGAAAGGGAGACTGACGAAGATTAGTCCATTTGAAGTAGAAGTGCCACTGTCCGGCAAAGGAGGGACGCACCGATGACGAAGGGAGGCGTGCTGTCAGCCACCACAGTCCGGCAAAGATTGATCCAATCGAGGAAGCTCTACCCCCGAACTAGTACTCTGACCTCCAGTCAAATGGATGAAAAACCATAGCGCTGATCTTATCGGATGGGTAGGAGAAGAAAGAAAGGTCGGTTGCTGGTATGAATTCTATTTTGCTTGAGAATAAACACTAAATTGTTTGAAAATGAGTATTACGTTTTTCAGAATGAATTCTACGTTATTTGTAAATGAATATTATAATTGTACTCCCTCCGTCCTAAACTTAACTTTCCATTTGACTTTTCATGGTCTCCAATGCGGCACTTTGACCATTAATATTTCCATTTTTATATGAATATATATATATATATATTATCAAAATAATATATTTCAAAACTATGTTTCAAAATGAATCTATTGATACTAATAAATTTATATGAAAATTCAATATATTTTTTTCCGTAATATGCAGTCAAAGTTTAAAACTTTGACTGCAAAAGTCAAAATGAGAAATTAATTTTAGGACAGGAGAGTACTAAACAAATATGTGAAAATTAACACTACATTATTTTAGAATGAGTACTACTTTACATCAAAACGAACACTTATGTTTTGTGTGAGAATGAGTATTACTTTCCTTCAAAATGAGTACCACTCGACTATACTTTACTTCTGGTACAGCCGGTTGTACCATATACCTACTCGAGGGGGTGGGGTTTGGACTAGATGAATTACATGTCTAGTCCGCTTCCACAATATATACTCTGCAACTGGTTATACAATGTTTACATCACGACGAGTACTCGTTTATGAGAAATTGAATACTCATTCGCGGACAACTAAATACGAATTTGTGAGTATCGATTTAAAATTTATAATTAAAATAAAAAATAAAAATAAAAATAAAAAATTTTAAACTAAAAATATTAAAAATTAAATATTAAAAAATAATAACTCAAACTAAAAAAAATTAAAACTTTAACCTAAAAAATTTTTAAATTTAAATTTCATGTATGAAATTTAAATTTAAATTTTAAAATCTCAATTCAAAATTTAAAATAAAAAATAAAAGTCTGAAATTTAATATTCAAAATTTTAAAACTTGAAATAAATAATCAAAAAATTATAATTAAAATTTATTACGGAGTATTTAAAATCTAAAATTATAAATTTAAAATTTAAAACATAAAATTTAATTTAACTTAATAGAAATTAATTTTTTAATTTTATGTGTATATATATATATAGTTATTTGAAAGGAGATCATTTTACCAAACTTTTTCTAACATTCTACTAACACATCTAGCTGATCGAATAAGCTAAACAAATTAGTTATTCAGAACAGCTAACAAAATAACGCACAACCAACAATTAACCATCCACTTCCCTACAAAATCTCTCTCTCCCTATCTATCAATTTATCTATCTATAAGGAGTTATAATTAGCAACCACGCTCAATTTTCTCCACAGATTAGATTTCATATTATTTGATTATTTGGTTACTACTTTATGTCGAAAATCTAAATTTTGCATCACCTTCTTGAGTTGTAGGTGTATATGATTTATTTTTAGATTTATCAATTTTTCCCAAATCGATTTTAGTAGTTAGCTAGGATTTTAATTGGTTTGAATTACTCTATTGCGAGAAATTCTCAAAATGGTGTTCTATATTAACTCTAGAGTAAATTCCATAAAAGGTCCCCAGTTATAGGCCGTTTTACATATTTAGTCCCCAATTATTACATTTATTTCCACGAATAGTCCTTTGTTAACATTTTAGTCAAGAACGTGGATAAAATTGTATATTCACACTCCTTTCTCTCCTCAATCAAGCTTCATCTGTTCCCTCGCACTTCTTTCCCAAACATGTCGCTGAGTTTGAAGCTTTGAACCCAAAATCGAAATCATCATTCTTCTCTCAATTGTTCATCTAACAGGTGGAACCCAAATTCGAAACCAGTAACCTTCATGGATGAGTTTTAATGTTTAGTTTCTTTGCAATTTCTTGAGACTAACCGATAAAACTCATCCATAAAGCTTATTGCTCTTGATTTTAGGTTCCACCAGGAAGACTAATAATTGAGAGAAGAATGATCATTTTAGTTTTGTGTTTAGAGCTTCAAACTCAGCGACGAGTTTGTGAAAGAGTACGAGAGGATGGAGGAAGCTTAATTGAAGAGAGAGAGAAGTATGAATATACATGTTTATCCATGTTCTTAACAAAAACGTTAACAAAGGACTATTCGTGAAAAATGATATAATAATTGGGGACTAAATTAGTAATAATATTTGATATGTATGGACTAAATATGTAAAACGACCTATAACTGGGGACCTTTTATGGAATTTACTCTTAACTCTATATTCGTAGCACAACTCTATGCTATTGAACAAAGGATTTGAGATCATAATACGTTATCAATTCTTTAGTAATTAATGCCCAAAAAGGATTTGTAATTGAAATTGAATTCAATTCTTATAATTTTTCAAAAGCATGAAGCATCAAAGGATGGACATGAGTTCGATTCCTAGTAACTGTGTTGGTAGGCAACTATGATAAGCACATCGCTTCTGCAAGTACCAGATGCAGACTGCACTCCATGTCACTAATCTGTGATTAAAAATACAATTTACTGTTAGACAAGGCGTGCAACTCTAGAGGGAGGGTGAATAGAGTTGTTGAGAATGTTTACCGATTTTCGCAGGATTAATAATATAAACGTAAGTGCAGCGGAAATGAAATAGAGAAGGGAAAGAACACACCGATGTATACTGGTTTACCACCTCATGGCTAGTCCAGTTCCCCGAGAGACTCTCTCGAAGCTACCACTACTTTCGTTAAGCTTACGGGTGCTTAGCAAACCGTTTACAACTCAAGAACTTGAATCCCACAAGCCTCGACACAACCGCTCGTAGATATGCTCTCTACAAGACTTCACAACCAAGACTTAAATCACATAAGCCTTGAACAACAAGAAGAACAATCTTCTTCAACCTCTCAGCAATAACTCTCACAAGAGTAGCAATGAGAAAAGATTAAGCTCTATGGATGACAAGAACACTCTCTTGAAAACACTTAGTTTTCTCTCAAAATATATCAATTTGAGGAAGAAGTGAATGGAGGATTATAACCTCAAGATTGGGGGATTTTAGGAGTGCTTGTTCATAAGAAAAATGACCAAGGAAGAGTGTTTAAATAGGGGTTGAAGGAATATATCCGTTGGTCCAAGAAAAGAAGCTGGGATGAAAAAATGCAGCATAATAATCGATTAATGCAGTGCCAATAATCGATTAATGCAGTCTGCGTAAAAGGATAATCGATTAAATCAAAGCTATTAATCGATTAGAATGGTCTGAGTAAACTAATCGATTAACGGGAAGAAATAAATCGATTATATCAAAGAAGCTCAACACGAAGTAAAACTCAATTAATCGATTAATCAAGAGAATTTAATCGATTAATCTAAACAAAACTGGGTAAATCGATTAATGTGAGAATATTAATCGATTAGATTCGAAATGATTCACAAACACAAAGGGCCCAAGCCAGTTGCGATTGAAAGCAAATTGGATGAATACTCGTTGTTTGAGACAACGGGAATCAGGCAGCAACGCTCCTAAAAAAATCTCTTATTCAATGAATTTGAATAAGGGAGTAAAAATGAGTCCAAAAATTATTTTATGTGTCAAACGATGTACACGAAAAATATTTGAATAAAATATTTTTGCTTACCAAAAATATTTTATAATATTAAAATAACTATTAGATAAATGTTTGACACACTTTTTTGTAACTGACTCAATAAAACTATTTTGAACAATTAAAAAGATTTTTCAGCTGATTCCAAAAATAAATATAATTTTTATTTTGACTCTCATAAAAATAATTTTGGAGAGAAGATATTTTTGTCATCCTTACAATAATTCCTAAGACTCAAATAAATAAAAAGTCTTCGGAAATCTTCTGCTCCTTCGAGTCCTCCGTTAGGGGCGCTCCGAACGCGTCTCGGACTTCAACAAAATCCTGTGCACCTTCTTGAATACTTTAAGGAATGACACTTCAAGTCTTCGTGATTGTCGTTGTAGCACTTTTAATCTTGACTTGAATAAATTGTGTTTGTCAATTATCAAAACCTGTGAGTCAACACTAAACAACACAGAAAGGGTTGAACTCATGCATTCCAACATTTACTTCACCGTCTGGCTGGGTTTGTGGGGACCCTCAAGGATGGGAATTAGAGCTGGCAAATCGGTCAGTCAGGTCGGGTTTGGTCACTTCAAGTTCAAGTTATTTCGAGTTTGGGTCAATTCAGGTTCGGGTTGAGAACTGTATGTTCATTACCCAGTGTCATTGGGTTCGGGTCGACTCAACGGGTTATGACTTTGGTTTTTTAAATTTTTAAATTTACATTAATACTTACATTTTCTATTAAATAAATTTAAAATATCAAAAAAATGAATTAAATCTATAAAATTATTTTATTTTAAACTCTGAAGTAGTTTTTAGATATATAAATCAATATACAGAATTAAAAAATGCTTAAGTTTTGGAAAAAAGTAAGATAGTTATGCAATATTATTAAAATTTTGTCTGAAATTATAAATTTATACACTAAAAACGAGTAGTAAAGTGTATAATTTTGAAAAACTCTTACTTTAGCAGGTCGGTCAGGTCAGGTTCGGGTTCGGTCGAGTTTGGCCCATTTTTAGTGGGTCATTTCGGGTTTGGCAACTTTGGGTTCGGTCATCAAAACCCAATATTTTTAGGTCGGGTTTCAGGTCAAAAACAGATCGGGTCAAAAAGAGGTCTAATGGGAATCAGTTTTTTTCAAAAGAAAAGTGGGGTGGCCAATCACACTCCACTGCCAAAATTCAGCGCGAAATTCTCTGTTTCTCCACACGGTTGCATAAATGTCGCCATTTGGTAATTCCAATTTTTAGATATAGACATAAAGTGCATCGCTAAAAAATAACTTTCCATAATCGGTAAAATGCATTTTCGGAATATTATTTATTACTGCATAATTTAAATTAAATTGCTGACACTCAATTAGGTCATTCTGTCTTATCCAGCCTTGAGACTAGATTGATTCAGTTTCCAATTGAAGAATTAAATATCATTCGTCCATAAATATATTGACTAAATGGAATACAGACTACAGGGTATTTATGTAATTTCCTTTTTTGTTCAAATATAATTCGTCAATTTTCTAAATTCGTGGCCAGATGGTTTTTTAGTAATATATGTACTTCATTTTATTTTCTCTCCTTTTCTTTCATTTTTTTATTTCTTTATTTTTTCTTCCTAACCAAATAAGAAAAATTATTTACTATCTTTTTTTTACCCTTTCTTTTTCCTTTCAAATTTCTTAAATCAAACATTGTGTAAATTTAGCTAGAGTAAAGGACATTCGAAGAAAATATTAAAGGTATAAAAACGATATATCTAGATTGAAAGGGATTTGAGTTAGTTATTTTTTTTATACAATATTCCATTAATTTCCCTCAATTTTTGTATAGAGAAAATGGGTAATTTCAATTCACATAACTTATAAGTTACGGAATACGGAGTAGTTAAAAGTGTATTACTTTGACTAATAAAATTATAAGAATATGATATTTTTAAACTTTATTTCAAAATGACTCTAATGATATTAAATTTATATCATAACTCAATATATTTTTTCTATATTTTATTGTCAAAGTTAGATCAGAAACATATGACCTAAAAATGCAAAATGAAGATAATTTTAAGACGAAAGGAGTGTTAGAATATAAATAACTGTCAAGGAACCAATTCAACCAAAAGTTCAAGTTTGTGGCCGGTTATGGCCCAAGAGCAGTTATTTATATTCTAACAATGTCAAGTACTAATTCAACCAAAAGCTCAAGCTTGTGTTTGTGGCCCAAGAATAGTTATTTATATTCTAACACGCCCCCTCACGTGCAGGCGTAATTTTTTTTAGCCTTGCACGTAAAACCTTAAATTTTTTTAAACTGGGTGGCGCTTAGTTTTGAATCCGTGACCTCTTAGTCAACGAGGCTCCGATACCATGTCAAGAAATCAATTCAATCAAAAGCTGAAGCTTGTGGTTGTGGCCCAAGAACAGTTATTTATATTCTAACAAGGAGTATATATATTGTCAATGAACTAATTCAACCAAAAGCTCAAGCTTGTGGTTGTGGCCCAGAAATGATTGTTATATACTCTAACATATATTAAATTTACTTTTAAATTTTACATCAATATAGAAATAAGTTGAGTTAAAAATAAATTGAGTCAAATATATTACTTCCTCCGTCTCAAAAAGAATTTAATTTTGGAACCAGGAAGAGTCTATGTCAAATACGTTGGGAAGAATAGTGTCTCACGCACATCTTTTACCATATAAGCTTCCTATGTTTGACGAATTTGAGAGATTATATTCTTACAACTTTGTATTCTTCTATAAAATGAGAAAGAATAAAACTGAAATAGAGAGGAAAAGTATTTGATCGATCTCCAATGGTTCAATTATTAGTATGTGAGGAAAAGATACAATTACAACTCAACTAATGAAATGAAGCTATTACTAATAACACTAATTCTTATTATTAGTAATGCGGCGGCGGCGGCGGCCATTTCAATGGACCTCAACGCCATTTGCAGCTCCACATCCTATCCTGCTCTATGCTACAACAGGCTCACCACCATTTTTGGGCCGGCGGCCGACGGCCTCGGACTTCCCAACGTCTACACGTCGTCCGTGCGTATCGCCATTGACGAGCTCTTGGCCGCCTCCAACAAATTGCTCGAACTCGAAACCCTGATAGACGGCGACAGACGACGACAGTCGTCGTTGTCTGGCGCCATGCGATTTTGCCGCGAGCTCCTCTCCGTTCGTGCGTTTACCAGTCTAAAAGACTCATTATGGGCGGTCGTCGGGCTGGACGATAGCCCGACGATGAGTACGTTCGAGGATCTCAAAACGCGGCTCACCGCGGCCGGGATATACCACCAGACGTGCCTCGACGCCATTGGAGGCGCAGAGGACGACGGGAGGTCAATAATAAGACGCGCGGATTTAGGGAATGTTATAAAAAACTCGACAGAGTTGACCAGCAACAGTCTGGCAATCCTGTATGCACTTGAGGAATCTATTGGGGCCACCAATAGTAGTTCATCAGGTGACATGCAGTTGACCATCAGGTCGGAAGTCCAAGAAAAGTTTTATACTCTAACCGTGTTAAGGCTCGTCGCGGATGTGGTGGTGGCGAAAGACGGGTCGGGAAACTTTACGAGGATAGGGGACGCGCTAAGTGTCGTTCCGAGGGAGAGCGACCGGAGGGTGGTGATCTATGTGAAGGCTGGGGTTTATGATGAGATTGTTAATGTTGGGGTGGATAAGTGGAACGTTGTGATGATCGGCGACGGGATGGACGCCACAATTGTTACCGGAAACCGCAACTCCGGTGACGGAACGGGATCCTATTTTTCTGCAACATTCAGTACGTAAACGTACCCTATTTAATTGCTATCTATGGCTTGCACATCTTACATTTACTCCTTTCATTTCATTCCTTTTTAACTGATCACTGTTATATGATTTTCTCATTCATTGATGGAGTATTTTTCATATACACCCTTCATTCTTCAAAGAGTTTCTTTTAACTTTCTTTGTCAAATATTCCTCCATTCCTGAAAACCTTTCTTCTTTCTTTTTTCATTCGTCCCAAAAAACACTTCTCATTTCTATTAAAAAGTCACTTTTACCTCTTACTTTTCCATACTCTACCTATCACATCATACCTTTTTACTAATAATATATCCATCAAATTATACTTTTACCCATCACATCAAAGGACATTTTTGAAAATTCAATACCAAAATACCCTCCCTTTAAAATTCCTCTTCAAAATCAAAATTCCCATGTTTTCCGGGACGGAGGGAGTATTTAATCTTTGACCATAAATTACAGAAAAAATGACACTACTACAAAAAAGAGTGAATCGACTTCCTCATTTGATCGGTTTCCCTATAAACCGATGCAAATGGGAAATGAGGATTTCGCCAGTTGTACTCTTTTGCATCAGTTGATAGTAATAATCGATGCAGATATCTGTTACATCGGTTATTACTAACGACAGATGTAAAAGACTGAAGCTTTTTGAATCGGTTGTTAGTAACAATCGATGCAATAGGTCTAATTAAATTGTCATATAAATTTCAGATCAATATACTCACTTTGAAACATAGTTTTGTAAATTTATAAATTAATTATATCTGTATATAAACCGAGATATTAAGAGTCAAAGTTTTGCATTGAAAATTGTAAAAAGTCAAATGAAAACTTCTTTTATGGACAGAGGGAGTGATTATATTCCTTGAGTTGTCTCAAATCAATTCTAAGTATGTCAATATGTTACCTCTTATTTTATGAAAATGTTAGGGTGCCCCAAATGATTGCTATCACGGGTGCACTCAAGTTTCGTACAGATAATTATCGTCTCTGTTGCACAGATGATTATCATTTTTATTCATGTCATTTGTGCGAAGCTTGGGTGCACTTATGGTAGCAATCGTTTGGAGGCACCCTAGCATGGCCCCTTATTTTATGGTAGAGAATTTGATATGTTCCCACAGTTTCGGAAAGATTATCATAGTTTGACTTTTTTGTCAAGTATGTCACACTTTGACGGTAAATTATGAAAAAAAGATTTAGTTATGACGTAAATTTAGTAAAATTGAATTCATTTTGAAATATAGTTTTGATATATCAAATTTTCATAACATTTAATTATTTAAAAGTGTATATATAATTTGTGGTCAAAAAAAATTAAATTATAATAATAATTTTGGAACGGAAGTAGTAGCTTTTAATATATAGTCCACTCGTTCCAAGTTAAATTTCATGCTTTTTTCTATGGTCAACTTCATTCATTAACGTTTTTACTTATTTTAATTACTTATTAGATAAAATAATATAAACATGTCATTCCTTGTTTTTATAACTTTTTAATGTAGTTTTTTATATATTCCCTGTGTCCCTAAAAGATTTTCTCCTTTCATTTTATTTTTATCCCAAAAAGTCTTTATATATGTAGCACTACGGAGTATTAAAACATCACGTTTATCCTTACTATTTATTATTACCATCTATACCACATCATAGATCTATTTACTACTATTTTATTCATCATATTCTACTTTACTTATCACATCAAACGTAATTTGGTAAAATCAAAACAAAGATATCTCTCTCTTAAATTTCATAAAAAACAAAAAACAATAAAAATTTTGGGATGGAAGGAGAATATAACTTTAATTTTTTTTAATTTTAACCCCATTCTCAAATAAATTACATTAAAAATAATTTTAGAAATTTAAGGAAATATTTTATTCTCTTAAAATATCAATTTTAAATTTGATGTAGAGCTTTTAGGAGTTTAAGAAATGTGGAATTTATTGTGTGGTTGAATTTTATGTCAAAGAAAAAGAAATATGCAGAATTAAAATTCACTTTAGGGCACCGCCAGAAAAAGTTAAAAATTTAATTTAAGGACAAATAGAGGAAATACTTAATGGCAAATTAACACACACTTGTATATGGTGAATCTCCCATATATGATAGGTTAGAGGTTCGGTTTCGAGTAGGGATAATAATTCTACGTGCTTAATAGTTTAAAAATATATGAATGGATACTACTACTTACAATCTCCTTTCTGGACCCGAAATTTCAAAATTTATCATTTTCTTACCTACTGTTTACCCGGAGTATTTAATAAATAAATTAAAGGGTGTACAATATGTTACTTCTAAACATAAAATTTATTAATATACTTTCTTGTACACAAAAATTAGTAATATGTTCTTTTTTTGAAAGGAGTAATATGTCCTTTTTACTTCTCCATAATTTTGTTGAATTTTGTGAACTCAAATAGTAAATATTATTTTGGAATTGAAGGGGAAGGAGTAATGAGACCAAGAATAAAGACGATTTGTTAAAAGGTCATCTATCTCATTCTCACAAGTCACCCCTTCCATAGTTCCATAGCATATTAGGTACGAATATTTTCTAAATAAATCACAAAGGAAGAGATAAAAGTATTGATCAAAATTTAGTTTACTCCCTCCCTTCCAATTTAATTTGTATGTTTCATATTCATATGTTCAAATTTCATTAATTTTTTATTTATTTTTGTGGCTCTTATTTCACCCTAATTTTCAAATAAATTAAATTAAAAATAATCTTAGTCCATCATCATAGATTGAAATAACAATTTAATTTGGAACAAAGAAATTAAAGTAATTTATTTTACATTTTTTAGTCATTAGATTCAACAAACTAGCGAATACTCATTTACATAATATTGAGTATAATATCAAATACTCCCTCCATCCCAAAAAGAGTTGCATGTTGTTTCCGAAGTTTGACTGCAATTATTTTCTATTCAATCTATTTGAAAATTAGTAAGGAATTCAAAAATTAAATTTATATAATTAAAAATTAATAGTGATATTTGTGATGCCAAACTTAAAATATCGCATACATAATTCTTGCTTTGGCACTATATGTTCGTTAGAGTGACTAATGTTTGGTTTGGCATATTTGCATGATCTGATCTATAGCTGCGTCCGGCACGGGGTTTATGGCGAGAGACATGAGATTTGAGAACACCGCCGGCGCGGACAAGGGCCAGGCGGTGGCATTGATGGTGGACGCCGACAAAGCCATCTTCTTCCGATGCAAAATCTCCGCCTACCAAGACACCCTCCTTGCCCAGGCCTACCGCCAGCTATTCTACCGCTGCCACATCTACGGCACCGTCGACTTCATTTTTGGCTACTCCCTCGCCGTCTTCCACACCAGCCGCATCCTCCTCCGGAAACCCGTGACAGGCCAGGAGAACGTCGTCACTGCCCAGGGCAAGTACGAGGCCCGTGTCATGTCCGGGTTCTCCTTCATAGGTTTGTTCTGACATCAGGAAAAATCACACATTCGACGAAATACGAGTTATTATAGAGTATAAAAATGGACTGGGACAACATAACTTTGTGCCACGAGCCTCACTCCCATGGTGTTGTGTTTGGGTCGGGGCACAGAGTTCTGTGTCAGTGTAATTGTTTAAGTGGAGATGACCCATAACACATTGATTCAACGTTTTGGGTGGATATGCGGTGACCCAATTTACTTGGGGCTCGTTTGGTGAACGCAGGAGATATGAGTTCTGATATCGGGGATATGAAAACCCTTTTGTGGGTGTTAGTTGAAACCTAAACAATGTTCGGATTTGATATCTCCATATATCATGAGGATTCATAACCCTCCCAAATGAGGAGTTTTGATATCACCGAATTTGGAGATTTGACATCTCCCTCAACCGATGCCCCCCCTCCCCCCGCCACTAATAACCATCATTTAAAATCTCTCAAACACTATGATTTCATATTTCAAACTCATCTCACTTCTTGAGTTCAAAACTCAAATCATATCAACCCTCCAAAACTCACCAAACAGTCCCCCTTATATATTCTAGCTCAAGTGCATAAATGTTTTCATCCCCTCTAAACTTGACCAGGTTGCAACATTAGACCGGCGGAGGATCTCACCGGAGTCTCCACATTCTTGGGCCGGCCATGGAAGGATTATTCAACAGTTGTTTTTATGTATAGTCGAATCGGGAGGCTGGTTGATCCCAAAGGGTGGGAGTCTTTTGCCGGCTTACCGCCTCCGGACACCATCTATTTTGGCGAACGTTGGAACACCGGTGGCGGCTCTATGACGGCAGACAGGGTCCGTTGGAAGGGAGTTCATCTGAGAATGAGAAGATCAGAGGCAAACAGGTTTGGCGTAAACGCATTTATTCAGGGTTGTGATTGGATTAATGGAATAGGCATTCCTTGTAGTAGACTCTAGAGCCTAAGGATAGATGATGACTTTGATGTAAATGCATGTTTGGCATAGGCATATAGCAAAGCCGGTCCATACTCTCTTTTGGATCCCGTGCTTAACTTCAGGTAAAACAATCACAGTTCCTATACCGTTCATAATTTCAGATTTTTTTATTGAAAGTAAAAAGTGAAAGAATTTAATGTGTTGTTTAAATATATTCATTATTTACCCCAATCTAAAACATTGAAAATTATGACTCGTTTAGCACCATTGGTAACATAAACTTGCACAGTTAAGGCAACAGAAACTTACTGGTGATTGGCATTGGTGATAAGTGTGTGGAGCATGTTTTTTTCTTCACGGCCATTCGCAAGCAAGCAAGAAAGACAAAATCTAGTGCAAGAATCTCCTACGACACCGTACAGATCCAAGCTCCTCGTACTCGGCCTTGCTTACACACATGGTTTCAAAATCAGGACTTGATGCCAAAAGTGATCCACCCCTCCACACCCCGAGTATAGGACTACACATGGGCAAAATAGAGAACGATAAATTAGTTGGTTCAAGATGCAACAAGTAGTTTTTTTTCAGTCATTTTTTCAAGGGGAGAGGAATTTTACTCTTCTTGTGCTGTGATCTTCACGCGATATTTATCAGGGACAAGAGGCCGAAGCTCATTTTCTCTGTATTTTTATGAAGAATTTAAATCAAATCCAAAGGAAAAAAGGAATAGAGACAAAACCAGGGAGAAAAACTTACAGCCTTTCAGCAAATCCAGAGAATAATGTACTGCCACCAGTCAAAATTATGCTGTTCAAACCAAAGACGCCAACGATCATAGACAATAAAGATGCAATACTGGCTGCTTTAGAAGCATAGGGGAAGCATGTTACCTCTCATAGAGCACAGGGTGAAGATGAGGATGACAGGAATTGACAGCTCGTACAATACACTCTGCAAGTCCAGCCTGGTTCATTCCTGTAACCCACCGGGCATTTGGGTTTCAATGAATTCAAATGTGAAAAGAATCAACAATTGAGCATTTCTTGACCCAAACACTAAGAGATTTCCTAAACCACAAAACCCACGCAGAAATACATAGGCATAACTTTTCAAAATAGAACATGAAATAAAGACGCAATGTGACATCAACCATTTCAAATCTTTTGAGGATTAAACAGACACTATTGATGCTTCACAATTAAATTCCGTAGTTCAACACTCGAATGGCAGCTGAAAGTAAATAACTGGGACACATACCTAGGTCTGCTGGGCGGAAAATCATCTCCGGGACAAGGAATCTTTCATTTGTTAAACCAAATTCCTGTTTAAAATGCAAAAATCATCAGTGAGTCAAAATATTAAAGGCAATAACATTCATAATGCAGAAGCTTACATTTTTTGACAAGTCAATTCTTGACACATCAATCTTTTTTCGGCTATCAATGTCATCAGTGATGTCCTCCTGATCAACACTATTTTGTGTTTCGGGTAGTTGATGTTCAGTTGAATCATAGAGAGACATGTATCTCTCTGCTTCCTCATGATCTTTTACAAAACCTCTCATATGTGTAACACCATCAGGGAGTACATATGTGCATTTGAACAAATTATCCCTGCCGGGTTTCCTGTAAGATTGATGTGAATAATAATCCAGTCTATGATTGAGAAAAAATTCAACTATCTCTGCAAGAACAAACTATGAATGAATAAAGGAAAAGAAAGAAGACAGACCAACAAGCCTAAACTAACACACACACCCCTCAAAAAAAAATCCCCCTCAAGACTAGGGCCTGAGAGCAAGATGTACCTTACCTCTATCCCGAATAGTAGAGAGGTTGTTTCTGAGGGGATCCCGTAAGATAGTGAAAACATAGGGTGAGGAGTGAAATAAAAAACACATAATACACAACACATGGCTCCTACAAGTGTTCTAAGATCCTAATACAACATTGCCGTAAACTCCTTTCAGACTTTGTGCGCTCAGAGAGATTTCAGATCAAGCAGCCAAACAGTAAACAAATATGAAGGCATATAATACAGCTTTTGAAAGTTCAATATCATATTTACTCATTTTACCTCATAAGTGATTAGTGTAAGTTCTACAAATGACCGTAACCTAACGGGTAATGAGAACTTGTAAGTTGTAACGAAGAAATTAAAGAAGACTAGAAATAAATAGAGATATGAATTAGGGACCGAGAGGAAGCGAATAGAGAGAATTATCCCAAACAATCTGAAGGAAAAAAAATAAGACTTCATTAACAATTCACATCGAAATCATTAGTGAGGAAATAAGACTTCACCACTTCAATAGCAAATAGCAATTCACTCACATCACTATACATGGTGATTCTCACAAACTATCCCTCACACCCATCACTATACCTAGTCAGTAGAGATTCTCCATGCACATTTTTCATCTGCTTCTTACCAGCTCTTCGAAATATGCACAGTGTAAAGACTAAAAAAGGAGTAGTAAACTTGAAATCATTAAATAAGAGTAACAAAAAATCTCTTTAGGGGCAAACCTAGCAATCTTCAAATCTCTGGCAGCATCCAAAGAAACAAAGCAGAGTTTCTCCTTAACATCATCCATAAGAAAGCTCTCATCCATGACATTCAAGCTTCTATAGCTCACCAGCTCTTTCAAGTAATTACTCAGAGCCTTTCCCCCAAGGTCAAGCCTTTTTACCCCATAGTTAAGAGTGAAGTTCTGGAACACCGGAGATGCGTGGGTGAAGGAGAACCCAGAGTCCACAACGAGGCTACATTGGGCCTTGGAAACAAGCCCATAGGGCCTGCGTGAGGCCTCGTAGAGATGGACCAGAGATGGCGAATCGGCCACGAACAGTGCCCGGAAGTTGAATTCTTCGAAAATGATTTCATCAATGGAGCGTTGGATGGAGGGGAGAGTGAAGAGGGGTTCGGTGAGGAGGAGGGAGGATTGGGAGGGGCTGATCTTGAGGAGATTGCTGAAAATGTGGGACCAGATCGAGGATTGCAGGTCGGCGTTGATGATGTGGCCGCGGTCGATTGGGCGGCGGACGGTGGCCGAGGTGAGATCTGCGTCTGGGGCGAGGAGTTGGTCGGCGATGAGCCACTTCTTCGAAGCAAGAGGACGGCCAGTGCAGTTCGGGACTACTGCGGCGGGGTCTCTCTCGCCGCTGATCCCCGCCTTAATCAGGCCGCCACCATTGTCTAGAACTATCACGTTGGGCATCGCTACGACTTGGGAACAATACTGCACGAGGGGAAGTTTGGATATGCGGAAAGATTCAAACACAAGTCACACCATGGTCTTGTTTGGAAATTAGGAGCTAGCTTCAATTGATTTGAACGGTTGATTGAGTTACTTGTTTTGATCGACTGATAGCTGTTCCCTTGCTTGATTAATTTAACTACTCATAAATAATTATTATAAATAAAATTACATTTTGGAGCATGCCAGGAAAATGTAATAAAATTACTTTTTGGATCCAACTCTTGCCAAGAAAGAATTGGCTACAGTCGCAATTTTTTTTCAACTCGTCCGAAGAAAGAAAGAATTGGTTTTGGCATATGCTCTATTCAAAGGCAAAGAAAGAAATTTAATGTGAAAAGCCAACCTCAAACGTTGCACTCACTAGCTTTTCCAAATTTGGTTGTTATGGTCCAACAACCAAGTAAAGAGGCTAATTTCCAAACACCTATTTCAGTTGATTCATTAGTCAATTTCACTGTATACGGTCAGAGAAGCCAACAACTAATCCAACAACCATTTTCCAAACGCAACCTTTGTTTTAGCATCTTGGTATCAAAGCGCTTAAGCTTAAATTGTTCGCTTGATGATCTTTAATCATGGGAGATCTACAAGAAAGTGCAAATATATTTGGACATCCTCTTGTGTGGCCATGATTATTCTTTTGAGAAATGTCGAATGAGAGTATTCCTTAAGTCTCGTGGTGGAGATGTTTAAAGAGAGCCCCCACTATGAGAAATCAAAATGGAGAATTAATTCCAAAACCTTATGAGAGATATTCCAAGAATGAAAAGGTTGCAGCAGAAACAAATAATTAGGCTTTAAATGCAATCTTGGAGCGATTTACAGAACCCAATTTCGTCTTATCTCAAATTGTACTGAGGCCAAAAACTCATGAGCTACCTTTCTTATTACTCATGAAGGATAGTGAGTAAAGATAGTCAAGCTCTAAATTGTGACGTCTAAAGTTAAAAATCTTCAAATGGGGAATACGGAGTCTATCACAAACTTTCATGGACGAGTTAGAGAGTTGGCAAATGAAGCTAAAGAATACAAACTTGTGTTGAAGGTTTTACATTCTCTCCTATAAAAATACTTTATGGATGTCAAAGTTATTATGCATTCACAAGAAGTCAAGTGCATTTCTCTTGATGAGTTGATGAGGATCCTAGAAACAATTGAGTTGGAGATGAATGAAGACATAAAGAAGCGACGTGTCAATCCTGTTGAAAAACATGATTTAACGAAGGTAGGTGATCTTTATGTGAGTGACGAATTTCAAGAACAACTACATATGGTTACAAAAGATCTAAAGAAAAAGTGAATTCAAAAGAATGTGAATGTAATACCCCATATTAAGTTGGGAAAGAAAAAGGCTTAAAAGGATTGATAGTACTACTCATACCAACAAGGTGCATCTTCTTTTCGAGAACTCATCACCTAGAAATTCCAAAGATAAGCGTGCTTGACCTGGAGCAATTTTAGGATGGGTGACCCCCTGGGAAATTCCTTAGGCGCGCACGAGTGAGGACAAAGTGTGCGGGAAAGACTTGTGTTGGTTTGTGGGGCCAGTCTACAATCCTATGAGCGGACACTTATGGCCAGGGTGGGGGCCGGGGTGTTACAAATGGTATCAGAGCAACCTTGCGACCGTGACGGGCCAATGAGCTTAGTTCACATAGCGGGGAAGATCTAGGGGTTTAAAAAAGGATGCAACGAGGACGTTGCATTCCTAAGTGGGGGTGAATGTAGTACCCCATATTAAGTTGGGAAAGAAAAAGGCTCGAAAGGATTGATAGTACTACTCATATCAACAAGGTGCATCTTCTTTTCAATAGTTCATCACTTAAAAACTCCAAAGTTAAGCGTGTTTGACCTAGAGCAATTTTAGGATAAGTGACCCCCTGGGAAATTCCTTGGGCGCGCACGAGTGAGGACAAAGTGCACGGGAAAGACTTGTGTTGGTTGTGGGGCCAGTCTACAAATCTATGAGCAAACACTTACGGCCAGGGTTGGGGACGGGGTGTTACAATGAAATTTCAATTAAAGAAGAGACAAGAAATTCATATGCAAGAGGGTGACGAAGACAATGTTGAAACATCTTGCGCTTTTCCTTCTTTCCATAATGATAAAGATGACTCTGATGATGACGTTGATTCAATGAAAAAGCTAAAAAATGTTGAAGAAAAATGGAAAAAGTCCCTACCAGTAAACAAGAAAATCATCTTGGAGAATAATAATAATAATAATAATAATAATAATAATAATAATTTAATAATAATAATAATAATCTCAAAGTTGAAAATACATACCTCAATCGGGAACTTATTAAATTACAATAGTAAGTTGATGAGTCAAAGAAGGCTGGAAAAACTCACTAAGGAGTTACATAGATAAAGGTTTAAAATGATAGTGGAGGATGACATAGAGGGTGACACATGATATGAGCTAGCTATTCTCCAAGAAAAATAGACTGAACTTCTTCAAGTTAACAAGAAAAATATTATATATGGAGAACCAACACCTTGATGTTGAATGAATTAAACTCAAGGAAGAGCTTCAAGAATGACAAACAAAGATTGAAGGAATGGAAGGGCAATATTCTGATCTCAGATATGAACTAAATCAACTCAAGAACTATTCCTAGTGGTAATGGAGCCAAGGTCACGAGTTTGATTCCCAACACGAGTAATTGACGAGGGTGAGATTATTTGTCATGTGTGCATCAATTATTATCTTGTGGCAGAGCCTTTATAGACCAAGTCACACTCAAACGTTGTGGGCACTTGTGTATGCTAAATACACTATAAGGATAAGGCATGCACCTTTTCTAACACTAATTGGTTTAAGAAGAATTTGTAGCGCATGACGTCCTACAGTTATGGATGCGGCGAGCATGTATGTACTCCTAAAGGTGCATTGCCTAAATTGTAAATACAATAAGTTCAAGAAAGAGAAACACTCCGACTCTAGTTCTGAGTCATTCTCTGATGATGATGATGATGATGATCATGTAGCAAATCTAGGCTTAATGACACGTGGTGAATCCGAAAAGGTAAATAATGTTAAAAAATACAATCAATGCAATATATTTCTATTTTAGAAAGATATTTATTATTTAACTGAATATTCTCCTCTTCCTTGCATAGATCATTACATTGTACATGTGTATCTTTGTATAGTTGCGTATCTTACTTATAATGTATGCCCTCTTATATATTTATGGATCAATATCAATCAATATAAGTTTTGCCAACATTTTTAAAAGTAATTCTATCCGAATAGTTTCGAAGATTATATGAAGCATTTGGTGATTTATTCATTGAGGTTAAGAAAGTTTTTAATGTTGCAAAACACTTGAAAGTAAACAACGGCTTTTTGTATCTAATTAATATTTAAGAAAGTTTTCAGCATACGTGGTCTACGTACTCCATAATTAATATTTGTATCTAGACCCAGATCACTAAAGATGACACAATAAGTTAGAGGGTGGTGAAGCCCGCATGGAAAGGGTCAAGTTGCCCGAAAGTGAGGATGCGACCACCAACGTAGTGGGTGAGGTAAGCGCTATAATTAGGGAATAAGGAGACAATCCTCATGATCTTCCAAAAACATGGGCATGATCCCTCGACTTTTCTAGAAGTTAGGACGTGATTGATTGATCTCTAAAATCTATAAATACTTCTTCTACTTATCTGGAGAATGTATCACATTTTTAATACACAAAAGAGTCGATATAGACTAGTATTGTAACACCCGCCTTCCGTGGACCTGGTTCACCCGCGACCCAACGGACCGGTAGGGTGACATGGGCGGTCCGAGAACCGCCCATAGCGAAGAAAACATTAATGTATATTTATTTTGAAAAACGGTTGGGTTTGTTTGGTGAAATAAATGCTAGGGAGTTAACCCCAAAACGTGTGTGATGTAAATGTAGAGTAAAAGCGGAAGTAAATAAATAAGTCTAAAACAAGTAAAACGACAAATGGTGGGTTCTTTCCCCAAATGATTAATTTATTAAATGTATATAAATATTAAACTTTTCCGTGCGCCGCCCATCTTCCCATCATCACTATCCTCCAGGGTTAGTACCTGTACCGTCATGTCTACCTGCGTGTAGCAAAAACAACTACACGCTCAGCAAAAGCTGAGGAGTGAATCTAACAAAAGAACATGAAGTGATAACCCATATGATTATACACATAATAATACCTGTACTTAATGTATGGAAAACCACATGTTTACTAACTCTTTAGTTTGCGCCTGTAAGGGTACTATTACATATAACAAAATGTTGTATAACCACATTGAATGTTGATGTGATGTGGAGCACACATGATGATGATACGACTTGATGCATGACCTGAACTATCAAGGACACCCCTGGCTTAGCCTCACTTGACAGGATCAGCCCTGCACTCCGGTTGTCATACCGAAACGGTAATGAGCCGGGAACAAGTGGACTAGCAAAACCGGGTAGTAGCCGTAACCTGACTACTATGTACGTACACAAGGCCCACTTGATGAAAACCCGTTGGATCCCGAAGGTTCCTGGACGGGACCACTGTAGTAGGCGCATGAAAGTCTGACCTCCCTACAGCGGTATGCACATGATGATAAACCTAGGACGTGCGTCTAGGATGAACATGATGAATGCTTGATATATTTACCTTTGGTCAACGCAAAGAATATATCAATTAAATAACATACATACCGTAGATTAACATTTCATGCAAACATACAATCAGATTCTGGGTCAATATGGTCAACGGGGCTTATTCAACAAACTGCCCGGGAACCTGCCCGCGGAACGGTCGACCGTACCCTACCGGCGGTCGACCGTGGGGCTACGGTCTGGTTCTGGGTTACTGACGGTCCACCTAGGTCTTCCGTTGCGGCTGACGGTCGGCCGTCCCGGTGGTGACCGTCGGACTGGCCGAGGGTACGGTCCACCGTCCGTAGTGGCGGTCGACCGTCCCGAGGATAGTCCCTTGTCCTTGGCTACGTATTGGTCCATTTTGCAAACTTAATTCTTTTTAGAACAATAATGTAAACATTGATGAATATATTCGTAGTGATTCATAGGCCAATATATACGATTTTTACGTAGTGAACCTTTTGATGGCTAACCTACGAACATGCATAGATTCTACGTAGGTTGCGTACGATATTCCTATGAATATAACGACATAGATTATAATTTTATGTTCTAGAATTAGAGGGGACAACTACTCACCTCTAAACGTAGGAGTTGATGAAACGTAAACGGAATGAACGGATGGATGACGATGAACGATGAACGAATGACTTCTCGCGTGAACTTCCTTCTCTTTTACCTCCTCGTCTACACGTCGGAACTCCTCCTTTTTCCCTGGGCTGCTATGGCCGAAACTCTCAACAAGGAGAAGAGGAAGATGGAGAGTGTGTGTTGAATAAGAGAGTTATAAGTGATGAAGAACATGAATGGGGAAGGGGGTTTTATTAAAGGGAATTTAATGGGTGAATAATGGTGGGAGGAATGAGGGTGTAGTGGCGTGAGAATTGAGGTGAAATTAAGTGGAGAGTTATTCTCAATAATTTTACTCTGTAGTATAAAATCTGACCTGAACGGTACACGCTTTTTCCCCCCAAACGGGTCCAAATTGAGATCCGTTTGTGTTTCCGAAATCAGATAGTCAAAACGAATTTAATGACATGCTCAAATAATTTTTCTAAGAACTTTGTTTTCAAACATTCAGGTCCACCCCAATCATTAATTAATTTATTTAATTAATGTTGAGAGGTCCGTTATGAAAACATTTTTTTATATTTAAAAACACATTAACTTTTGAAGTCCATCTAATGAGATCAACATCTCAATATTTATTATTTAAAACAATGAGTCTCAATAAATAAATAATATTTATTTATTTAAAATTAGGCCGGTTTGAGGGCATTACAAGTATATCATAGATGCGGTTTTTGTTCTTAATAAAAATCAGTTTAGATTGTCTAAAATTCTATATGATATTGAATCAAAGCCAACCCTAGGCACGTTTTTTCCATTTACCAAAATCTATCTGTTATTAATCTACTATGTTATCGTCTCAATTGACCAGATTATTATTTCAGTTTTAACAGTCGCTGCCCATTTTTTTATCAGGTCACAAAAATCAATCCCAAAGCAACAATGGCGACATAACTATTGGTTCGGGTTTAGCACAACTTTTTTCAGTTTCCATCACCATCGCCGCTAGATTAACCCTTAGTAATGTTCGAGAACGCAACTCGTCCTCACCATTATAGTAGTTTATTCGTACATCCGTGATCCTCCATCAGTCACAAATTTGCCGCTCGCTAAATCTTATCGCACCGCCATTGGTTGGACAATGTCGCTTGTTTCGTAATTTGCATCCAACTGGTGTATTTTGTCATATCCATCTACACGTAAAAGGTTTGGTAATCGATCTAGCAACCAATTGTTTTTTGTTTTTTATTTGCTTAGATTTACTTGATATAATTCAGCCACCGATCATTTCTTTTTTGCCCGTCTCTATGTGTTTGGCCAATTAGGTTTTGATTGTTTGTTTATTTGCTCACGTATACTCCGTCCTATGTAGCCGAGATATATGATTTTGTGTGGTATGTATTTGTTTGGGAGTTGGCAGTCACATCGAATCTTCCATCCAGCTAGATTTGATGACATTTTTTATGATATAATATTTGGTTTGTTATTTATGTTGAACTGTAACCAGCTGTATGTTCAACAGGTCAGTATGTGAGGTCAGTGGCACCTCAATACAAAAACATTCGTCTAGAAATAGGACGCTTGTTAGTCATCCCGCGTGGGGTCATATGTCATCAGTTTTGGCAGTCACCTTTGTTCATTGTTGTCACATCAAATAAAGTTTAGTATAAATTATGTATCAGATCGAGTTTGTGTTGTTTTTTAGTAATAATTTTTTTATTATCAAATTTGTACACTCAATTCGTTATCCTCATGTCTCAACTTGAAAAGGATTGTTGGTGGATGTTTTAGGGTTTAGTGCTAGTAGAACTTGTTATGGTATTTGTAATTAGGTTATATTAGTATATTTTAAATATCATTTTGTGCTTAATAAAAACAGCTTGGCTTGTCTAAAACTCTACATAAATAATTATGCATACTGCTCTAATAGTATTGGATGTATAGAGTTTATGGTTTGAAGAGTAGATACTTGGGTAGATATGACTGATAGAGATAGTGAAGATGGTGCAACCAAGCCTAGGGAGAAGGTGTAAATATATAAGGAAAGGAAGGTTTGGGTGTTTGAAAAGGAATATGAAATGTGGAAGAGGAAGAAACACATTACATTATAACATAATAAGTGTCGATTGCATTATGTTTACGTTGTAAATCCTACAGCGTGGGATAAGGCAGTAAAGGCACTCAACGCCTTCATACTCTATAATATATGCATTATTGATTCAAAACTACTTGACTAATTTGAAATTGCATCAATATGTTTTACACTTATATGGAGTGATTGGAGTCTACCCCCTATTTAAAAGGGAGGAGTACTTCCGCCTAAGACGACATCTTATTTCTTTTTATGTTTTGATCATGTTTAAACTTGAAGGGGACTGCAGGCAGATGTATAAGGGTTAAGTGTTAGTGGACCTTGTTGGACTTGTAACTACATTAGACTAGTATATTCTAAGACAGGTTATATGGTGGACCTAAGGTTCACTTGGACCTTCTCACATACTTTTTTTATTTTAAAAATGCTTCTATCCATACTTGAAAATGCTCATTTAGCATATGTTAAGGTTTACTATGAACCTTAGGTGCATGTAATAATTTGCCACATTTTAATTACCATTTTTATGCTAATCAATTTGGCTTGTCTAAATTAAAATTCTACATTAGTACATATCTATACCCCTTTAATAATATTGGATGCAGAGTGCTTATGATTTAAAGAGTAAACGCTTGGGTAGATATGTCAATAGAGATATGGTGAAGATATGCAATGAAGTTTTCCAAGAAGGTAGAATTATATAAGAAAAGAAGGATTGGGTGTGACAAAAGGATTGTGGAAGATGAAGAAATGCGTGACATGAATAAACATATTAAGCATCAATTGTGTTATGTTTAAATGCATTGGCAGTGTAATCATTGACTTCATTGTAAATCTCCTGTGTGAACCGATGAACTCAACGTCTACATACTCTGTAACATATATATACATTATTGATTTGTAAATACTTGATCATTATCAAATTACATCAATATATATGTTTTATATAATGAAAAAAGAATAATATAAAATCTAATTCAAGGACAAACACGCTTTGGCTTAGCTAATCCATTCACCTTGAAATACTCGGCAATAAACTCTCCCCCTTAAATACAAACGCATATGCTCCACTCTTCAAATGGAACAACAACCTACAAGTCTTACTCTTCCTCTATTTACTTTTAAATTTAATCTTTTTTCAAACTTTATTATGTAGTTCAGATTAGATATTGATGAATCTTTGTTTCCATTATGTTATTGACAAATAAAAAGTCTTCAAGCATTCAATTGTCATAGTTATATTTGAATTTTTCTTGAAGCTCAAGTAGTTATTTATTTGGTAATGTTGTCTTTCCTTTGTGAATCGGCGGCGAGTGAAGGTCAGATCATGTATAGTGAAGCTGTAGTTTTATCTTTGGAGGTTTAAAAAAATAGTTATCACATTCTTATTTACTCCATTCATCTCAGAGTATTCGTCAAGTTTGACTTTTTCGAATCAAACTAGACAAACTTTAATCTTCAATTACTCTCAATTCGTATTGCATATTAATACAATAAAATAAAATTTTGAAACTTTGAAACAAGTTAAATCTGATAAAATTATTGTTATGCTAATATAAATTGTAGTTTTTACTTATTTGAGTCTCAAAGTTTGTCTAATTTGACTCGAAAAAGTCAAATTGAACAAATACTCTGAAATGGAGGTAGTAGTTATTTATCTATCTATTGGGTAATTGTAAATTTTGGTGAAATACTTAGCCTACGTTTACAGTTATGATGTGATATGAGTTTTGGAATCTAAAATTATAGTTTGAAAAAAACAGAAATGAAATCAATTCATATTCGAATCTTTAGTGAGCAATTGAATAGCTCCTGAACCTGGTAGACTCAAGTATTGAAATTTCTTTTAATTGAGCTTCTTCCACATTGAGATAATGGGAGCAATTCTTTAAGCAATAGGTATTATAACTTCTTACTTCTATTCTCTAAATATCTATTCTCATAGTTCTATTTGAGTTTTACTAAAGAATTGTAGATGATGTTTAAAGTCCTTCTAGAACTTCATTAGGATAATACTCCCTCCATCCCATTAATTTTGTATTGTTAAATTTATACTCCCTCCGTCCTATAATGATCTTCCCGGTTCGCAAAACGAAGAAAAATCCCAATTTTTTTTTCAATCTATTTTATTTAAATATTGGTATAGAAATAAAAAATAAAACATACATATTTAAAAACTATATTAAAAGTTCAACAAAACAAATGGTGACAAGAATATTTTATTTTATCATATAGACCATGAAAAAACACAAATAAATATAAATTTCCGTGAAGTTGGAATAGTACTCTGGGAAGATCATTATAGGACGGAGGGAGTATTATTCTCACTCCATCTCTGAGTATTTGTCAAGTTTTGATTTTTTTTCGATCAAAATTAATAAATTTTGATCTCAAATAAATTAAAAATCATATTAGATTTTGATACAAAAATAGTTTAATAAGATTTATTATATACACCATTTTTAAAATATTATTTTATCTAATTAATATACAAAATATATTTTATTTAATTATATGTGAATGGTTAAAAAAAGTCAAAATTAGACAAATAGTCAGGACGGAGGTAGTACATATGGAAACAATATTTTTATCGTGCAATGCATATGTTAAAAAGTAGTGATTGTTTTTGTCAATCAATTAATAGAATGGACCATGCTAGGGTGCCACCACATGGGTGCTACCATGGATGCACCTATGCTTCGCACAAACAAATACAGACGATAATGGTCTGTATCGCAATTGATAATAATGCTAATAATAAAGCTTGAGTAATAATTCCTTGTGAACAGTGAACTAAAGATTAAAAAACAACCATAATAAGACCATATTTCTTAGTGGACTGATGCAATCAACTTAAATCTTCTCTCTTAACCAGTTTTAGCCTTTGCACCGACTGGATAAACGTTCTGTAAAATCCACAAATATGAAAAATCAAATTTCAGAGATTATTCTCTACATAAAATTATTTCTAAAAAAAAAAAACATTGAAAGGGGACAAACCCAGTCTCCATATATATATATATGAGATGGGGTTTTCACATACCCCCAAGGAACATCCCCTGCAAGAAGCCAATCCCCTTCCTTGTCCTGATATGTGAGAGCATATGCCTCCACATCTTCCTCATCTGTCTCCAAAATAATAGGAACAAACATTTTAAATATACATACTTCCTTTTTCCCAAAATCTCGTGTTTTTTATTTAAATTTAATTTATTTACAAATTCGTATAGAAATAAAAAAAACGTAACTTACATAATCAAAAGTTTTACAAAATAAGTGATGACAAGAATATTTTATATTATTAAATGATCAATTAAAACATGAATCAAATAAAGATTACCAGGAGGCTAAAATAATAAATATGTAATCTATTTGGGACCGAGGAAGTATTAATTAATTAATTAATCGGTGGGGTTCTAGTGCCACTGGAGTACGGTGCCACTCCGGTGCCACTGGCATTTTGGGCACCTCCGGTGCTCCGTTCGCAAAATTGACGGTTCCTACCCCCCTAGCCCACCCCCTAAACCCCCCGCCCTACCCCCTCCCCTGCACCCCACAAAATGTGTGGCTATTATGAATGCATAATAACCACACATTTTGTGGGGGGCTTACGGCGGGGTTGGGGTGGGGGTGCAGGGGCGGGGGTAGGGTGGGGGGTTTAGGGGGTGGGTTAGGGAGATAGGAACCGTCAATTTTGCGAACGGAGCACCGGAGGTGCCCCAAAATGTCAGTGGCACCGGAGTGGCATCGTACTCCAGTGGCACTAGAACCCCACCGTTAATTAATTACTGATAAAAAAGTTGTGATATTCCATCCGGCCAAAAAATATCTTCATGTTGCGCGTTACGATGTTTAACTGAACTTATTTTGGAATCAGTTTATATGAAAAATGGTGTGAAATCAAAAAAAATAAATTACATATTAAAAAACTACTTCAAAAGATCTACAAAACTAGAAGTGACATGAATGTATTATTTAATCAAATGGGTAACTGCCTAAAAAAATAAAACCTCGTCCAAAGAGGGTGATCACGGAGGAAGTGAGTGAGGCATAGGAACTGTGTGCATTTAAGTCAATCTTTCTTGCAATCCCAACCCCTTCCATCTTCACCTTTACAAACGGCGACCCGCGCCGCCCTCTGCCGCCGTTCTCCTCCTCCTTCGCCGCCGGCGTCCTCCATGAGTTAATGGGTGGCCAACATGCCACACCACTCCCTGCTTCATCCCTATTTTACATTCCTCCAAAATTAAGTTTAATTTACACTTCACAAGAGCTATGGAAACACAAGTGATTTTTTTTGGTAAAAAAAAGTGTTTTTTTTGTAGTGAATGAGTTTATGTGTCAAAACTTTGCAATAAACCCAGAATGTTCGTCCGGTTTGATTTTTTTTAAATCAAACTGCAAAAACTTTAATCATCAATTGCATTAAATTTACACAGTAGTTGATTTGGGTATATTAATACAATAAAATAAATTTTTAACAATTTTGTTTCCCTAAGATAAATCTAATTAATGAGATCATTTTCAGAATTGATGTTAGAAACAAGTCTAGAATATGTGCACCTGTTAGAAATGGTAGAATTGCTATCCTCATTTTCTTCATCATCATCATCATTAGTGTGGAGGGGATAGTTGTCCCAAGGCAGCAATGGCAGAGTTTGAAGTTCATCGTCATTCTCTGCACCACACTCATCCATGGCCTCCTCGTCATCAAATCTTTGCTTCTTAAAAATTTGGCCACAGTTTCCCTCCGTGAATTCCATTTCCCAGCAATTTGGATCGACCATTGTTCTTGGAAGACCCAATCCTAATTGAAGCTCCATTACCATTCCCATCCAAGAAAAAGAGCAATCCTCCTTGGTCCTATTTATAAAGAGACCTTTCGTTATGATTTTAAAAAGAGAAATTTAGGTAAATAACACCAAAACATAACGACTTTCCCTAAATAGCATTACATATGTTTTTTAGTCATTATCCATTAGTCATTATTCAAGAAAATATTGGCCATCACTGGACATTATGGATATTATGAAGTGCTATTTAAGGAATAAAACAATTTAAGTACTACTATTTAGGGAAATGATTTAAATTTTAGTGCTATTTAGTGCAAATATTTATTTTAAAAAACAAATAATGTTTTAGACTAAAACTTTTATTAATTCATTAATGAGTTTTTTGTACTATTCACCTCTGAATTCTTTAAAAATTGTATCAACGATCTCTGAACTTTTGAAAATGTTGCATCAGTGGTCCATATGCGTTAGATTTAAGAGTACGTTAATCACAAGCTCGTCAAGTGCAAGTGTGGATTCATCTAAACTCATATGTTACACTTGAGTTATGCAATATGTTTTTGCTTACATAATTTTCTATATTTTAAACCTCTTGAAAGCTCAGATAATTATCCCCCTTTAGTCGTCACTTAGCGAATCCAAAGCTCAAACATCAATTTATCAAGCTTTTCGTCAATCGATCAACCTTTTCATCAATTCATGTCATCTTCATCAATCTTCAACAGGTATACTGATGAGCAAATGATCAATAAAAGAGCAATCCTCAAAAATTGCATGGCTTTCCCCTAAATTTTAAAAATTGTACCAATGATCACTGAACTTTTTATATTACCTAATGAATACAAATATATTTCTTAAAAAATACCTTATCCACCAACAAAACTTTTCATGGCTCTCCCTCTCACGAACTCTAGTGAAAGCATTGAATCTTTAATTTGTAAGCCCTATAATGAAAAGCTAAAAGTATATAGATGATACTCCTTCCATTAATAAGGAAAAATCTTCCTAATTGAATTTACATGGACTTCCCTGTCTCAATTTCAGTTCTTTCTTCACTACTCACATAGTCACATGGTAAAAAATTTAGCCAATTTTTTACTCATTTTCATTACGTATTTGATAAAATATTTAGTCTTTTCACGTCTCTTATGTATTTTTTAAATACATAATTTTTTTAAACAACAATATAGAATTTAAATTAGGACAAAAAGAATAACAGATTTAATAGTAAAAAAAGGTTGAGACATAGTATCATCATAAAAAAACTTTAAAATATCATATTAGTCATGTGAATAGTAACACTATGTTTTTACTTGTCCAAGTATTTTCTTCATCACAAAGATTACTTCATTTGACCTTGAATAAAATTTATATTCATAAGCACAAAGACACAAGCTATGTATTCATGTTGAGGTTTTTTAAATACTAACTCTCAAAGTTTCTTTCTTGACTGTAGCAACCATTAAGATCGTCATATGACACCTGTCTGTTTAAAGCCATCCATAACGTATCTCATCTTGAAGTACGAGGTGATTCTTATCCCCCTTCCAAGACTCGTTTGCTCACCCTTATTGCCTTTATTTGTGGTATATGGTTTTGGTTTGTTTTTTCTCAATTCTTTTTTTGGGAGAGGGAAAGGGACGGCAGAAGGGAGAAAGTCAAGGGACTTGAACAATTTTATTAAATGTGGGAAGATCAATTGCCCAACTTTTAGCAGACCCAAATGTCTTGATGTTTCTTGGTTGTGGGCCGACACACGAACAAATTTCCATATAAAAGGTCGTTGTTAATTTACGCGCGCATTCAATAATTTCCCTTGACCACCTTACTTACTCGTTTGCAGACATTAATGTTGGGGAAAAGGGCAAATCCATAATTATATGCATGCTTCCATAATCAAACACTCCAAACCCTTTAATCCATCTTTCTTACTTTCCAATCTACCAAACCACATGCATGTCTTCTTACACTCCATATCCTTTATCCATCTTTATTGCACTCCTTTATCCAATTTTTTTCCTTAAAAAAATTCACATATTTTTTCAATTCATTTTATAAAAAAACTAAAGCATAGTTTACATATTCGAAAAATACGTAGGAAATTTTACCAAATACTCCCTCCGTTCTCTAAAATTGTTCTTGTTTTGACTTTAGAACAAAATAAGGAAAGTATAATTTTAGTTAACTTTCTAATTTTGTCCCTGATGTGATGGATAAAAGTAAAATGTGATAGTTTAGTTATTAGTGAAAAAAAAGTATGATGTGATAGGTAAGGTACGAAAAAGTACGGGTAAAAGTGATTTTTTTTAATAGAAAAAAGAAGTGTTTTAAGGAAAACAAAAAAAATGAAAGAGAAAGGGTTTAAGGAATGAAGGGAGTAAAAAGTAGCAATAATATTTTATTTTATTAAATAAGCAATGAAAAACATAAATAAATAAAAGTTATCGTGCGCATTTTGAATAGCATATTTACAGAGGGATCCATTGGGGGACGGAAGGAGTACAATATTAACAAAAATGTTTTGGGTATTCCACGTTGTACCCCAATTTGTACACCAGACTCTGCAACATACATTTTTGGCGTAGATAAACAAATTAAAGAGTTGATAAGAATTACTTCATCCGTCCCAAAATGTTTGCCACATTTACTTTTTGAACAGTCACAGAAACTTTTATTTATTTGTATATTTATACTGGTTATTTCATAAAATAAAATATTTTGGACACCTTTTATTTCGAAGAACTTTTCATGTAGTTTTTAAATATAATTTTTTTTATTTCTATACCAAATTTAAATAAAATAACTTGAAAAATTTGATATTTTGTCTCGTTTTTAAAAATGTGATAAACATTCAAGGACAGAGAGAGTATATGAATGGGGAGCATCACTGTGCATCCCTAGGATTACTCTAATGCTAAATGGATTAAGCTATTTGTACCTCAACGTTTAATTTGCATCCAATTTGTACTCCGCCGCAGGTATATAAATTCATTTTGTGTCAATGTAATGCTAGGGTGATAGATCACACAAACACAAAATATTATTACAAATTTTTATTAACGCACTAGCATTTTGTATTAATGTGAATTATCAAAATATTAGTGTATATCTTTGGTGTAACTTTGAAATACACTTTTTGGTGTAAGTGTAGCATGGTTGAATATTAAACATATGTAGTGAGCTCAACTCGGATTAAAAGAATTTTCAAGATGTGAGACTTATCTCATACCTATAATTTCATCATATTGGCTAGGCATTTGCGTGTCTTCATGCAGGAGGGGAAGGAGGGTTGTCTAGTATAATTTCAACACCCATTTTCGACTGGCTAAATAGGTCCGTTGCTCTCTATGGTTTGAAAAATTGGTCCCAATACCCCTTCTGTTTTCAAAACTTATTTCTAAAGTTCTCATGATTTCAAAACGTTGCACCCACACCCTCTCTAATCATTTTCCGGCGAAGAGGGAGCATTGGCGCATAATTTCTAAACCATAAAGGGCATTCGTGCTCATTTCTTATTTTAGTTTATTATTTGTGTTTTCCCTTTTTTAAATATTTTGTATCTCTTTTTCCTTTTCCTAGATTTTTTAGAAAACATATTTTCAATTTTTATAATGTTTTAAAAATTTAAAAATTCTTTGTGTTTGAAATAAAAATTAAAAAAAAAATTAACATACATTACACCTAAATCAAATTAAACATTTTCACCTTTTTTTTAGAATAATTTTTTGGAAAGTTCAAAAAAACCCAGAATAAAAAAAATAAAAATAAGGAAAAGAGAAATGAAAAAAATTAAAATACGCAAAAAAAAGTCTTATACAAAAAAAAATTTACACACGCCTAAAAAAGTCCTTAGAATTGAGATGTCCAAAAAAGATATTCATTTTAATTTTTATATTATTTTTTTCTTATTTTATTCCTCATTTTTTTTGAAGTTCTCAAAAAAAATTATTTTTTTTAGAAAAAACAAAAATTGTAAATTTGATACGTACATATGCATTATATTTTATTTTTTCAAACAAAAATAACTTTAAATTTTAAGAATATTATAAAAACAATTTTAAAAAACCCTTATTAATAAATGGAACAAAAAAACGAAAAATGGAAAAACAAAAAATAAACTAGAAATAAAAATCAGCACTGATACCCCTTATGGTTTAGAAAATATGCACCAATGCCCCCCTTCTTCGCCGGAAAAATGGCCTGAAGATGATCAGAGGGGCACGGGTGCAACATTTTGAAACCACATGGACTTTAGAAATAACTTTTGAAAACAGAAAGAGTATTGGTGTCTGTTTTGCAAACCACGTGGGGTACCGACGCTATTTGGCCATTTTCGACGTGGTCACTCGTCTTTGGGCTCTTATTATTAAAAGTCCATTAGCTGCATTTTAAAACCACAGGGACTTTAGAAATAAGTTTTGAAAACAGAAAGGGTATTGGTGTCCGTTTTGCAAACCACGTGGGGTACCGACGCTATTTGGCCATTTTCGAGGTGGTCACTCGTCTTAAATGTAACGCCACAAAATATGGCCTAAAATTTATTATAAAACAAAAGTAAATTCTGTCCAATAACGAATATTTATACGTTTGACCAAAAATAAATGGACTTTCAAAATAATTACTTTTTGTTAAAAACTTATTTTTATGGATATGTCTCGAAGAGATGAATCCAACGGTACATTTCAAGAACCCATCTGATTTATAGATTTGTAGCTATGATGATTTTAAATATTAAAATTTGTAACTTTGACCCATAAAATAAACTCAATTTAAAGGAGATTTCATAAGATTAGAAATAATAATTTTGACCCTTGACAACACCATATTTATCATTTGGATTTAATTCATATATTTTTATCTTATTCATATTATTAAATTAATTTATAACGGAGACAGACCTGAACACTGAGAAAAAATAAAAGTTCTTAGAAAAATATTTTGATTACGTCAAAATTCTACTTTTGACAGTCTAATTCTAAAAATACAATCCGTTTTCAATTCGGAGCAGTTTGGGCGAAAAAGCGTGTACTGTTTGGGGTAACTAGTCAGTTTGGACTAAAAGCCA